CCTCTCACTCTTAACAACCTTCGTTGCAATCCAATTCCTGCGCCCGATAACCCGCGCGTCCATTCCAATCACCCGCCCCAAAGCCTAGCTACCACCTCTACCAGCGCCCATCGCCCGCGGTGACCTCGTGTTAGGTCGCACCCTCCTCTGGAGGCTCAACTGCTCGCTTCAGATACCCAAAGCACTTCCCCGGACACTTGAGACGGGGTTCCCATCACTCAGCCCGCAACTCGATCTACACCATCACCGCCTCCTCTCTACATTGCACGTCCCCGCGCGCGCACGCCTTTCCTCTCTTCTACACGACTACCCCGGCGTCGCACTTCGCCACAGCCAAGACTGCAATTTGAATGCGCTAGACGCCTTCCGCCACCTCATTTGTATCGTCACCACGCGCGCGTCACGACCTGTTCCTTCCTTGGCGACTGGCTCTCCAACGAACGATCTCAAAACGAACCCCCGTCGCCCTCTCCATCTCCTCGAGCGCCGCTTGCCGAGAGCTCTTCCTACCCACAGGTAGGTGTCCAGCCCTCTCCACAGCCTGTGCTAATCAACTCTCAGAGATCAGCGATAACGTTCACCTCGCCCAGACTTCTCTCGCTTGTCCTTCCGCGCTCATCTTGACATCCAGGCCGCTCTGCACACAGTTGACGCGCGGCTCCCCGCTCAAACACCGTGTCCCCAACCCCGCCTCCTGGGCATCGCCTTCTCTTCTCTCTCACCCGTCACCTTTTATCCGACGCTCATACAACATGAGCGCCGGGTCTCGAACATGGTCCGCGGGGCCATTGCGGCAAGCGACGCATCTCCTTGTCGCGCTCCTTGCATCGGCGTTGTGTGTCACAGCAATCCGATATAACGAGACGCTCGACCCGTGGAATATCAACAAGGCACAATGTACGTCAAGGCGCGCTTTTCTGCTCGACTTGAAATGAGTTGGCTGACAATCAGCTGCGGAAGACGTCCTGTCCTATTCCACTCCATTGAGGTCAGATCCCTACTTCCCATCACCAACAAACTGGCGTGTAAGTTGAGCCCAGGAGCACATGTACTCTTTCCCCGCGCCCTCGCTGATCTTATCTACAGACTTTGCCAACCTACACCCTTCTCTTGGACAAGTGGATTGACGGAGACCCAGACAACAACGACTTCTTCCGGCTCATCTACGAGTACGACTGGCGTGAGACTCAGCTTCGAGCCGGCGGCGATGTCATCGGCCTCATGGATGACCGTGGTCTCGACTACCTCCAGAGCATGGGCTACGAGGCGATTTACATTGCCGGCACCAACTACCTTAACATGCCTTGGCAGGCGGACGGTTACTCGGCTATTGACTTCACACTGCTGGACCCGCACTTTGGCAACCTCACCGACTGGAAGCTCTTCATCGACCGCCTGCACGCCCGTGGAATGTACATCATCTTTGATTTGACAGTCGGAACTATGGGCGACATGATCGGTTTCGAAGGGTGGGTTGTGCTTCTCAGAGTACCGTGCTGACTGCTAGTCATCTCAACTCGTCTACCCCTTTCTCTGAGAGCGAGTACAACGCTGTCTGGAAGCGCCCCAACTATGGGCCATGGGGAATCAACTACTACCCAGACTTCAACTTTACGAACGAGTATAACGAGTCCTGTGTGTACCCTACTTTCTTCGACTCGGCGGGTAACATCATCGACCCTGGACTCACTGGGTGCATGAACAGTCCCTTCGACCAGTACGGAGATGTTGAGGCTTTCGGTACCCACCCCGATTGGAAACGTCAGCTTGCCAAGTTCGCTTCCGTCCAGGACCGTCTCCGCGAGTGGAACCCTCACGTACTCGACAGACTCAAGCACTTCTCCTGCCTTTGTGTGCAGGCCCTAGACATTGACGGTATTCGTATCGACAAGGCCACACAGGTTACAGTCGACGCTCTCGCCGAGTGGGGCCGCTACACCCGCCAATGTGCCAAGGAGCTGGGTAAAGACAACTTCTTTATTCCCGGCGAAGTCACTGGTGGTGACACGTTCGGTTCCATCTACTACGGTCGTGGCCGCACACCCGGCATGCGGACAACGTATATGGAGGCGCTCAACTTGACCAACGCGGATACGTCCAAGTTCCTCCGCGAGGAAGGCCACGCCCCTCTTGACTCGGCTGCGTTCCATTTCTCGGTGTATCGCGCGCTTGCGCGTTACCTCGGTTTGGACGGCTACCTCACGGTTGTTCCCGACGTTGATGTCAACTTTGTCAATTCGTGGAACCAGATGCTCGTCAACAATGACTTCATCAACCCTCAGACTGGCGAGTTCGACCCCCGTCATCAGTACGGTACTACCAACCAGGACGTGTTCCGTTGGCCGATGATGTCTAATGGCACCCAGCGCCAGCTGGCCGGCATGTTCGTCACGCATCTCTTGATGCCGGGCATCCCCATTTCATGGTACGGTGAAGAGCAAGAAATGTACATCCTCGACTCTTCGGCCAACAACTACTTGTACGGCCGTCAGGCGATGGTCGCCTCTCAGGCATGGAAGCGTCACGGATGCTACCGGCTCGGAGCCCAGCAGTACTACAACGTGTCCTACGACAAGGTCACTACTGGCTGCTACGACCCGCAGGTTGCCCTGGACCACTTCGACCCGACCGCTCCACTGCGCCGCTCATCGCGCAACATGAACTGGATGCGCCGCACCTTCCCTGCCGTTCAGGATGCCTTCATGCTCTCCGCGCTTGCCAACTTCACGCGCTATGACAAGTATGCCAACTCCGATCAGCGAACCGAGATTGGTCTATGGGCCGCGGAGCGTACCCCTTCGGAGAAGCAGCGTGCGGACGGTGGGCCCGGCGGTCCCTGGGCGAGCGACGGTCAAATCTCACAAGTCGCTTACTACATCTACACCAACGAGAACGTTTCCGTCTCGTACGACTTTGACTGTTCCAATCCTCTGCGGTCGATGAACACGTCGTTCCCAGGAGGCACCACGATCAAGAACCTCATTTATCCCTACGACGAAATCCTACTATCCTCCTCTTCGGTCTCGTTCTACAACGATGGTCAGCCGCCCTATCGCGGTTGTATCCCGAGGTTGGCTCTCCAGCCTTACGACTTCCGCGTTTACGTGCCCATTGAGCGATGGCGCTCGCCTCCACCTGCCCTCAGCGGCTTCTCCCCCGGTCACGACGCGCGTGTCGAGTACACGGGCGACAGTGTCGAGATTGAGCTCCAGTACGACCAGCCTATGGACTGCGCGGGCCTTCAGCAAGCCATTCGGCTTACCTACGTCGGCCAGCCGGGCGCCACCCCGCGCATCACCTGGCCGAGCGACGCGTGCCTGAGCATCACTGGGGAAGCATCTGACTACGTGTCTGTGACACCCTCGGCTTGGCGCATGAAGGGTGTCATCACTGGTGCTGGCGAGGGCATGTACCGAATTTCGATCGGTAATGCCTCAGCTCAGGCTGCGGGGTCAGGCAACGGCACGCTCGGCGGCGGGGTCACCGGCTACACCGACCACCTTCACTTCCGCTACGGCAAGGCTGACAACACCTTCGTTTTTGTCGACAGTGACTATGACAACTCCATCTTCTCGGCGTCTGAGGGCGTGTACACCCTTACCCACAAAGCCTGGGGCGCCGACCGCTACCGCTACTCTGCCAACTATGGCAAGACCTGGACTGCGTGGACGCCGATGGAGGCCTCCACCACCCTCAACGCCAGCTTGTTCGCGCAAGAGACCATGTTCAAGGGAGCAGATGAGGAGAAGCTATGGGACGGTGACCACTTGATGGTGCAATACTGGTCCCAGCTTGCTGGCTCGGCCGGGCACGTCGTCCACGCCGACGCCAACTGGAACGGTGGTCAGCGTCGCTATCCTCAGATGCTCTTGCGTGGAGGCTTCAACAACTGGGGATATGACCTTGGCATGCCCAACAAGTTCCAGCACACCGGCGACAGCGTGTGGGAAATGCCGATCATGAGCGCCTGGCCTGCTGAGTATCAGCTCAACATCTGGGCATTCGACGACTACTTCTACGGTGACGCTGACGGAAACGGTGTCATCGACCGTCTTCCGCCCAGCTCGCTCACTCCCAACTTCCTGAACGTGTCGCTTCCCCCTCGCCCTCACCTCGCCTGGCAGCTCCAGATTAACGACAAGACCGGCCGCTGGGGCGTTGTTCCCATCGGTCACGAGGCGTCTTCTATTATCGCATTTGTCCTGCTCATGATCATTCCGGTCATGACTGCTCTCGTTGCGGCGGGTGTCTTCCGCTACTCGTTCTACGCGATCAAGATCAACAAGTGGGGTGTCAAGCCGACCAAGGAGGGCTCGAACTACTTCCCCATCGTTGGCGGTGCCCATAACGGCGAGAAGAAGGACGGCTCGCACCTTGGAGTCTCTGAGAAGAAGGTGACGCACCATGAGAAGATCAAGCCTCTTGAGCGCGTTATCGGCTGGCCCGAGGACTCTAACAAGCGCCGCAAGGTCCTTATCGCCACCCTCGAGTACGAGATCATGGACTGGAAGCTCAAGGTGAAGATTGGTGGTCTCGGTGTCATGTCGTCCCTCATGGGCAAGGCCATGAACGATGTCGACTTGATCTGGGTTGTGCCCAAGGTCCAAGACATCGACTACCCTCAAGGCGACTTTGCCGAGCCCATCGAGGTCATCATCTTCGGCGAGCCATACCTCATCGAGGTCGAGACTCACTGCGTCGACAACATCACGTACGTCATCCTCGATTCGCCTGTCTTCCGTGCCCAGACCAAGTCCGACCCGTACCCTCAGCGCATGGACGACTTGTCGTCGGCCATCTTCTACTCGACTTGGAACCAGGCAATCGCCGAGACTCTGCGCCGCTTCGAGGATGTGGACATTTACCACATCAACGACTACCACGGAGCTCTTGCGCCTCTCTACCTCCTTCCCAAGATCATGCCCGTCTGTCTTTCGCTTCACAACGCCGAGTTCCAAGGTCTGTGGCCTCTTCGTACGAAGGATGAGATGAAGGAGGTCTGCGCGGCCTTCAACATCTCTAAAGATGTCTGCTCCAAGTACGTCCAGTTCGGCAACACTTTCAACCTTCTTCACGCCGCTGCCTCGTTCATTTCGCAGCACCAGAAGTCGGTCGGTGTCGCCGGTGTGTCGGACAAGTACGGCAAGCGGTCTTGGGCTCGTTACCCGGCTCTCTGGACTCTGCGCAACATTGACTCGCTTCCCAACCCCGATCCCACGGATATTGCCGCGCTCGATGAGCAGCCCGTTGCCATGGACAAGATCCAGGTCGACCAGGATGCCGAGGCCAAGCGTCCCGAGCACAAGCGTCAGGCGCAGGAGTGGGCTCACCTGAAGCAGGACCCCAAAGCCGATCTTTTCGTCTTCGTTGGTCGTTGGTCCAAGCAGAAGGGTGTCGACCTTATCGCCGACGTCATGCCCTCGCTGCTGGAGAAGCGTCAGAACATTCAGATCATCTGTGTTGGACCCGTTATCGACTTGTACGGCCGCTTTGCCGCCGAGAAGCTCGCTCGTCTCATGGAGATGTACCCCGACCGCGTTTTCTCCAAGCCCGAGTTCACCCAGCTCCCGCCTTTCCTCTTCTCGGGCGCTGACTTCGCGCTCATCCCCTCGCGTGACGAGCCGTTCGGCCTTGTTGCTGTCGAATTCGGCCGTAAGGGTGCCCTCGGTGTCGGCTCTCGTCTTGGTGGTCTCGGCCTCATGCCCGGTTGGTGGTTCCCCGTCGAGTCGCCGGCCGCCGAGCACATGCTCTCGCAGCTCACCAAGACCATCAAGCTTGCCCTTAAGTCTACCCAGGAGGAGCGCGCCATCCTGCGAGCCCGTTCGGCCGTCCAGCGTTTCCCTGTCGTCGAGTGGCGCCAGCGCCTCGAGGACTTCCAGAAGCGATCGATCACCATGTCCCGTTCGCTCGCTGGCGAGCACGCCTGGGGCTGGGAGTACGCAGACCCCAGCGGCAACGGCCCCGTGCGCTCTTCGATGCTCCCGTCGCGCGACAGTATGGTGTCGCTTCAGCAGTATACTCGTCCCGGCTCCCCCGACTCGCAGCTCTCAGTACCATCCATGGACCCCCGCAGGATGTCGGACAACGGCGAGCCGCTGCCTGCTGGAGCAGCCCCGGCCGGCGACCGCGCCAGCTTGGGTGTCGACTACCACCGCCGCTTCGAGAAGCACCAGTCGGCCGACTCCATCTACGATGAGGATCCACCAGAGCACCGCGGGCGCCCCAAGTTCTTCACAGGCTACGACGATGACTCCGAGAGCCACATCTCGTCCGAGCGGGACACCACCATTGTGGCACCGCACGCTATGGCTGATGGCGGGACAGGGCACGTGTACGACAACTTCCTTGCGGCTGCGAACAGGCAGTTCGCCAAGACCCAGGGCAACAAGAACGTCCCCGACCCGTTCATGGAGCGCCGCATGAGCTCTCTGAGCATCGACTCGTCCAACTTTGCCCCTCCTCGTCCGTTCTCTATCCACTCGCGCGTCTCGTCCTTCGACTCGATCGGCTCGCTCGCCGACGAAAAGCACTCGTCAACGCTCAACAAGGCTATGGACACATTCACTGACGCCGACGGCGAGGTCGCTCAAGCGTTCGTTCAGAAGCTGCGCAACCTCTCGTCTGGAAACTCGAAGGGTGACCTGTGTATCGAGAAGTTCCTCATGAAGAGCGAAAAGCAGTTCTTCAGCGACATGAAGAAGGAGAAGCTGTCGGCAATGAGCATCCGCTCGCGCGACTCGATCATGGCCGGTCGCACGCCGTCGACCCTTGACGGTTTCCGCGCAGAATGTAAGTCTATCGAGCCGCTCACGCTGACATTAGCGCCAATGCAGTACTCGATGTCGGGCCACAGCCACCCCGAGGACCACTTCCACGAGTCGATGATGTTTGACAACGGCGACGACGAGAAGCCCATGACGCGAATCCAGGTGCTTATGGAAAGACAAATCGCCGGTTGGCCCCTGTACGCCATTGTCATCTCCCTCGGCCAGCTACTGTCGGCCACGTCGTTCCAGCTGTCGCTCCTGGGCGGTGCCAACACGCAGACGGCAACCGACATGTACATCATCTGCGCGATCTTCGTTGTCGCCACGCTCCTCTGGTACACGCTCTTCCGCATGCGGCCTTCCGTTTACGTTCTCTCGATCCCCTGGGCTATCTTTGGTGTCGCCTTCCTCCTTATCGGCTTCCCGTCGCTCTACGGTCCCTTCACTGCCCCCCGCAAGTGGATTGTTCGTGTGGCCACCTGGTGCTATGCTGTCGCTTCCGGTGCCGGCTTCCTCTTCTTCGGTCTCAACTTCGGAGAGGAGGCAGGCGCGGCTGCTGAGGTGTGGATCATGCGCGCGTGCATCGTCCAGGGTCTGCAGCAGATCTGGGTCTCGGCACTGTGGTACTGGGGTTTCACGCTCAACGGCACCAACCCCCTCACGTTTGTCGTGCCCCGCGCCATCATTTACGTGGTTTGGCCACTGGCAGTTATGTCGATGGCGTTCGCCGTGTTGATGTACTTCGGTCTGCCCGAGTACTACCACCAGATTCCGCCGTACGTGCCCAACTTCTTCAAGACATTGGTGCGCCGCAAGCTCGTCATCTGGTTCATGATCTCGGAAGTCCTGCGCAACTACTGGCTCTCGACCGTCTACGGCCGCAACTGGCAGTTCCTGTGGCGCGACGCACGTGTCCCCACTTGGTCGGTCGTTGTCATGATCATTATCTTCTTCATCGGCATCTGGGGCCTGATCATGGGCATTATCATGAGTACGTATCATAACCTTCGTCGTTGAGCCAGCTAACGCTCGCAGAGTACGCTAAGATCCACGCATGGCTTCTTCCCGTCTTCGCCGTTGGCCTCGGAGCGCCGCGCTGGTGCCAGATGTTCTGGGGCATCTCGGGCCTTGGGCTATACGTGTCATGGGGCGGTCCGGCAGGTCCATACATCGGCACATGCCTGTGGCTGTGGCTCGGCGTTCTGGACGCAGTCCAGGGTGTCGGTCTCGGCATGATCCTCCTTCAGACACTGTCACGTCTGCACGTGTGCGCAACCCTCGCCGCAGCGCAATTTGTCGGCTCGATCGTCGTCATGATTGCGCGCGCGACGGCGCCCAACAAGGAGGGTCCCGGCAACGTGTTCCCGAACGCGGCCTTCTACGACCCGGCCACGGGCGCCAACAACCCGGTCAAGCACTGGGAGTTCTGGCTCTGCCTGTGCTGCCAATTGGTCATTCCCTTTGGCTACTTCTTCTTCTTCCGCAAGGAGCAGCTCACCAAGCCCTAGAGCGTTCGATATAGAGAGAGGCGAGGAGAGGAGAGGCGAGACGAGGCAAGGCGAAGACGAGGACGAAAGAGACGAACTGCACTCCCATTACCCCCCATCATTACTCCACGACATCACGGACCTTGTTCCTCGTCCTTTCAGTATCACAGTATCATTATGCAACTGTCGTATGGATAGCGGAATGCGAGGCCTCTCTTTGACTGGAATGTGGACGCGGAGTGCAGTACGGGTCCTCGGCTCATTGTCGATCGTCATCAATCATCAAGGCTACAAAGTTTGAGGAACGCCCGAAAATGTTCCGTCAGTGGAGGGATCACCGCCGATCCACTGCGCAACGTCCTCCCTCTCCCACCATCGCGTTCGCCACATGGCTCTTCAGCATGACCGTCTCCGTCGTCCAAAAGCATAGGCTGAGCAACTGAATGCTCCTCTGACGAGAGTGGGATTCGAACCCACGTCCGAAGACTGCGGATCTCTGAGAGACCTGAACACAGCGCCTTAGACCGCTCGGCCATCTCGCCGATGAAAAAAGCAGCGTGGCGCAAGCTCGAGTGCGGCGGCGCCTTTCTCTTATGTTCTACAGCACATTGGAGTGCGCGGGGCAGATACTTTGGTCAGCGTGTGGGTGGGGGAAGACTTGGAAGTCTGACTAGCATGAACGCAAATGAGAAAGCCGGCCAAAGGACGGCCTGGGAAGTTGAGGGGATCACTTGTGCAAGCTCGGTCGGTGGCTCTGGGAGAACAACGCATTGTGGCGACTTCTGATAGTGCCTGTGCTGAGGTGAACTATCGTAAGTCTCCCTTATCGCACGGGTGGGGATCATCGGCCCGTTTGCCTCACTGCCATACCATGTTGGTCACATGCCGCCGCCACTCCCACTGCCGCAACCCCCTACACCTACAACTTTACCACCACTCCCACCACCCCCAGCACACTCGTGTACCTACCATTGTGCTCTGCTCGTGCTGGTGTGTGCTTGCGGGTGCGTAGAGACCCAAAAACTGACCTCTGGCGGGATCGAACCGCCGACCTCATGCGTAACTCGTCGCAGTCGTTGAAGACTTGCACTCGTGTTAAGCATGCGCTCTAACCAGCTGAGCTAAGTGGCCTTGGATGAGATGCACGTGACCTCTCCCACGTGCCTCTGCTCTCCTGCCGAGCATCGAAAGCACAGAGACGTCGGCTGATGCTCTCATGCGTTGAGCTGCCGGATGTACTAGCGCGTATCTTTACCAGCGTGTGTCTTCATAAATCTCGGGGAAATTAGATTATTGTTGGCTACGGATCGCAAACGACAACTCCCTGAGATCTATCGTGTTACGCGCAATATACTCACGACGGATTGCCCAGCTTAGGTGCAACGCTCTTTCTGTATTTTTACTGAGTGGAACAGTGTCAAGACGAGGAACAGGCCTCCGAGCTGACGACCGTTGACAGGGGGGTTTCGTGCAAAACGTGTCAGAAGGAGGTGAGCCTTTGCGAGACTGCATGTAGAGGCGGGGAACGACGATGAGGGTAAGTAAGAATTGACTAACGCTTAGCTGCAAGTGGAGCGATTGCGTGGTAATTGAGGCATGTTCATTGAAACAGACTTGGTGGGTAGACACGGAGGCCCATCTCTTGGTGTGAGGCAGCCATATCAGAATCAGAGCATGCTATTACGATTTAGCATACCAGAATTCTCAAAGTCGTTCCGCACAACAAGCCAGCTCCACCCCATCCATCCAAGCATGTCCTCGAGCTTTCAATCAATGTGGACCGCGCCCTCTATCTCCCAACAGCCGATGCGTCGGACGTGACACACCTCGCGAACGACGCATCCCTCCCTGCCTGGCGCATACCGGCCTTGATTGAGACGATCTCATCGTAGAACGCCTCAACCGCACGGTGTATGGGTCGCTCTTGTGAGAGGCAAATGAGTTCGTCATGGCGCAGGCTGCTGTCAGCCTACGAAATATAGCGAACACAGTGCAGCCAGAGGGCGGGGGGTAAGCCCCCATCGACCCGCTTGTGTTGCAGAATGTCTACGTATCGCATCAGCGCGAGAACAGCGTTGCCGCCAGACGATTCGCCTGTGAGCAGCTCTTTTTCGCGTCAATAGCCTACTTGCCGTCGCCATCCTTACCCTGTGCTCAAAGCCGAGATTGCAAGGATAGTTCCAAGCCGCCAGGGAGTCCAGCAGTGACGGGGTGAATGCGGACGCGTCGTCGAGCGACTTGCAGTAGTAGATGCCTGAATTCGCGCTACCAGCACTGCAACATACAGAACACGAGTGTGCCAGGGCCCTGGGCGTACGGAGAAGGGTTGTGTAGTGCCAGCCGGCGGCATTGCGAGTAACTCCCGCCGACGATGTAGTAAAACACGGGCTCGTCGGATCTAGCGGGAGCGTTGAGGTCCTGGGGTTAGCTGGCTTTACCAGTCCCGCCTTCACCGGCTCAATATCTCGGTTTGGTGCGAATCCAGAATTCTGTGACCTCTGCGGGGCTCACGATGTTGTTTCTACAGCCTTAGAGTCGAGCACTTCAAGACGGGGTTGTCGCTCGGGACGGGCGGCACGGTGACGGTGGGGCATTGCAGTTATCTGTATACTTTATAGGAATGCGCCGTTGGGCTTTGGGTCAGGACGGCTAACGCACGCCCCGTACTTCCGTTCCTTCTTCACGCGCTGCACGTTGAGCACCACGTAGGGCCACCAGGTAAGGCGGGCGAGACGGCCGGCGGATGAGGCCAGGCAACATCGGATTGCGTGGTAAGCGGCGGTCAGGGGAAGAACGTCGAGGTAGGTGGGGGTTGAGCGCATCCAGGAGAGCGTGGGGGTGCGGACGGGACTGCAAGAGTGATATTGTAAGCGGCGCATGCTTCCGTCATCTAGAGGTTTGAGTGAGCGAAGAGAACAAGGACGGGTAGCGAGGACGGCGGGGGGGACAGGATCAGCCAATGTCATGATGCCGAAGAGATCGGTGTCCTCCGATAAGATTGCCTGGCGCTGTGCCTGCCGTAACCTCCCCCAGCTCTGAGACCATGCACTGCATGTGTAGGCTTAGCGCGTTGGTGAGCCTTGAATTACGCCTGAAGTAGGATGAGATGCCCCAAGAATTACCATTACGCGGAGTTTTAGAGTGTATAGCGTGACAAGTGAGGGGACATGGCGCAGATCCAGCCCATCACCAATTCCCGTCATAAAGTCAAACAACCCTGCAGGCTGGGTGCATCCGACATCGTGCTATGGTACAAACAACGGCAATAAACCGTGTACACTCCTTTGGCTTCGATTATATCACCAAAAATAAGATGTGTGCTCGTCATGCGAACGAGTATGCCACATCCATTTGCTGCCCTGTCAGCGCGCCCCTCACACAGACTCACCTCCTCCGCGAGCTTGCGCCAGTCAACGTAGCGGTCGCCATCGGGATCACGCTTCCACACCTCAAACAGCAGGTTGAGCACGGCCATGACGTTGCGAACCTGTACGCGCGATGAAAATCTGTGGAAAATACGCTCCACATTTGCGCGGCCTTTGGCGTCGGCAGTCGCTACGCCGGCCAGAAAAAGCGGGAAGCACATCTGACTCTCGTTGGGTGTACCGAGGATCTGATGGATGTTGCCGATGATGCGCACGCCGAGGCGGCGGGTCTTGAGGTCGCTTGGACCGCACCGCAGCACACTCTGGCGGAGATACAGCTCAGCCGCGAGCTTGTACGTGTAGAAGGAGACGATGAGGAGCGCGCGGTCTGTCCCGATCGGCAGTGGGTGATTAAACAACCCGTTCGGCAAATCGGCGGCATGCAGGCGGGTTACCATTGCCTCAGCCTCGGCGACTATCAGGCCCAGTGCTCGGTCTCGCTCGCGCGACTCGGGCTGCCCGTAGATGGTTGAAACCTTACCGGCCAGCGCGGCTATATCGGTGAGGAACTGGAATATGCGTCGTGTCGCTCCCATGTAGGAGTCCATCTCGAGGTCATTGGCTGTGAGAATGCGATTATAGAGCTCGTAAGGGAAATCGGGGATCTGAGTTGTTGTGAGACTCGCAAGAATGTCGTGGTAGGCGCAGTTATATGCCAACGCCTGCCAAGTGATGGTGGTGTCAAAGTCTATCGTCTCAACGACCTTGCACAGAAGCCGCCGTGTCATGGGCAGGCGCCTCACCCAGCCCTTCACGTCTCCCTGAACAATCTCGGTGCCGCCGAGGATAAGCAGTGTCCACATGTACTCTTCTCTCTCGTTAGGCGTGAGGTCGCGCTCTATGTCGATCTGGTCGGCCTGAAGTTCAGTGAACTCCGTCGCAAGGCGCGCAACCTCTTCATACGGGTGGCCGATATTGGCCCGGTGAGTGGCCGCCCATGCGATGAGTGCACACATGACCAGCGGTGAACGCTGAACGACGGGGAACATGTTGTCGACCTGCGGGTTGTGGCCGGGGCCGAGTACCGAGAGCACATGGGAGAACGAGTTGACCCAGTACTCGTACAACGCTGGCAAATGGTCGACGACGGAGGCGATGAAGTTTGGCTGAGGTGGATTAGGCGGGGGCGGCGCCTGTAATGCGCTAGGGCTGTGGTCGAAAGGCGGCGGCTGCATGGCGGCGGGCGCGGGATGCGGGGCATTCAGGTCCAGCTCGAGGGCACCGTCGGCGAATAGAGGCAGCATCCACCCCTGTCCGTCTCCTCCTGTGCTGTTATTAAGACTCTGTAAGAACGCGTCCAGTGCGGTATCTGAGAAGTCGTTGTCGCCGCTGTCGCCCCCGTCGTCCACCGGATAGGAGGAGCTGCCAACAGACGGATGCGATGGTGCCGCCCAACCCGCGTGCCCGTTTTCCCAAGGGTTAACACTGCTCGTGGATGCGTTGACCTTTTCAAGCTCTGGTGAGTCGGAATCTTTCGCTGCGTATTAGATCACGATAGCAGGCCCACCTACGGAGGCGCTTCGTCCGGCCGTTGGGCTGAGGACTAGGTACGAGCTCGCCCTTGGCGTTTCTGTATAACTTGGGGAACACACAAGGTATGCCCAGCCGTGTGCTGTGGTCAGTGGCTCGTTCTCATGAGCTAATGTGGGAGAATGTGGGGCTGCAAATCCTCCACGATGCGGGGAAGGGTGTATAGTGACAGGAGCCGAGCCCAACGCACCAAGATCCGCATACTGGGCGCGAGTTGTCGCAGGCCTTCTGTACACAAGTCAGTCATGTTCGGCCTTGATAACCAGATCGCGTCAGTCACAGGGGAGGCGCGTGCTTTCGCGTTGCCAGCCAAGCGCCGACAGATCCCATGATCGCCTTACCTTCCGTCGGCGGCATGTGTAGCATCCAGCACGGCTTCGCTTGCGTTTCTGGATGGGAGGATAGGGCGACTCTGGGCTGCGGTCTGCGCGTTCGGGCTTCATGATGCCAACGAGTGGAAGTGTTTGTTGAGCAGAAGAGCAGGTGAATGAATGTCAAGAAGAGAAGGCAAGGTATCAGTTGTTGGTGGCTACTAAGCGCTGGGAGCACTCGGTCCAGAGATAGCAGTTAGGCACCTTGGGGATGCGGGAGGGACGGGACATAGGCATGCCAACCTGTCATTAGGCACACATCCCTGCTTGTTAGGCATCCGAACATGTGCGAGAGAATCATGTGACGTTGTAATGGGATAATAGAATTATCCAATTACCCTGAGATGTTCAGATGGATTCAGGGAAGCGAGGAATCATCGGCCATCCGTGTGTCGGTCATCGGCTGGAGACCGTCTTCTTTCGGACATAGCTTGTGCTCATGTTGTCACAGCTCATCTTCCGGATCGAGGCGGATGCATGGATACCACTGCCCCCCCCGTTGTTCTTGGTAGCCGAACTGAGGTCTGTGGCACTCAAGAGCTGGAAAGACGTCTGTGCAAGGAGATGTACCGGCCCATGCGCCATTGCTTACGAGCGGAAGTTGTGCATCACTTGCTAACCCATCCGCAAGTAGGCAAGCAACGACCAGCCCCAACTTTTTTTGAGTGCGACCAACTGATAGCGTCGTAACGAGCCCTACGCGGCAAGCTGTGGCCGTTGCCTCAGTTGCATCATTTCGCAGCATTGAAGCATCTCGCAGCCGCCGCCGACGACTCGTGCGGTTGCATATGGGTGCGGAATGTCACGGAAAGTGGTAGCCGCCGCCTCCGCCGGGTAGTAACGGAGGTGTATCACTCTCCGCTCCACCACGTGGGACAACAGCTCACGCGACATGCACGCGGGTGAGCCTCAGGCCTATACCCACAAGGCCGGGCCGGCGCTCGGCGCCCGGCGGCACCAGCGTTTTTGATGCCCCTGTTGCCGACACCCTGGACGGGCATTGCGGGTATCGGGCGCCGGCGCACCTGACGCGGCCAGGCTTGAGTGATAGCGATGGCGCGATGGGCGCGGCATGGGGCGATCCGAGCGATCCTGATGCGCGGCATGTCAATCGAGTGTGGCACCACAAAGTCAGTCACGCAGCCCATCCTTCATCGCGAAATGTGCATGGCAAAATTATACACGAACCTAGGAGTGAGGAATGATCTAGACGGTGCAAGGATTGTAGGTGTGGGTCTAAGCACAGGCGGGGTGTGAGATACAGGCTACACTTTGGCTGTGGACAGACTTAGGCAATGCGCTCGGTCGAGCGCGCGCCGATGGGAGGGCCTGGAGATGTTGTCATGGCCGGCGCGCCGAGGGCGGCCGATGCGTCGTAGTACTCTCCTGGCGTAGGGGGCTCGGGCGAGGGCACGCGCGTGCTGCCGTCTGTGGTGGTGATGGGGCCTGAGCGATCAGAGCCCGACTGCACGAGCGGTGCCGCCCCATATGGCCCGTTAGCCTTCTCGTCGTGGTACACGCCGTTGCCGTTCGCCTTCTCGTCGTACGGGTTGGTGTTGAGCTGCTTGGCGCCCAGGTAGTCGGTGCCGTTGGTGGTGAGGGGTGACTGGATCTTCTCGCCCTCGGTAATCTGGCGCGAGATGCCAGTCGCGCCGGTGATAGTGCGGTTGAGGTCGTCGTTGGTCTCCTCAACAGCGTCCTTCTTGTTCTTAGGCACACGGGCGAGGTAGTAGAAGGCAATGGCGGCGAAGACGTTGAAGATGATGTACACCCACATGAGGCCAAAGTCGCGCCAACGGTTGTCGTAGTAGATGTTGAAGACGCTCAGGAAAGTGTCCGTCTTGTCCATGGCGCAGTACTCGCAAGCGGACGAGGCGGGGTCCTTGACGTAGCCACCGGCCTGCTGGATCCAAGGGCCCAGATACTCGCCGCAGGTCTGGCCAGAGGGCGCGTTGAGCCTGAGCAGCTCGGCCGACGAGCACACAACGTTGGTGCGGGCAAGACCGGTAGCCAGCATGCCTTCCGCAAGGTAGGTGAAGGGCGAGACGCGGTTCATGAACTTCCAGAAGCCAGGGAGCGACTGGAGGGGCACAAGAACACCACAGAAGATCAGGCAGAGCGAGAACAGCAGGTTGGCAAGGTTACCAGCCGTCTCGGCGAGCTCGATACCTGCAACCATAGCAGTGGCAAAGGTCGAGGTGAAGAGCAGGAAGGTCATGAAGAGGAGCCACATGAGGGCGCCACGCTCCGTAACCGAGTCGGTAGGAATGGCGTTCTTGAAGAGGCCGATAGGGTAGTACCACTCGAAGAAGAAGAGGGTGCCGACGAAAATCGACCAGGGAATCTCGACAACAATGTTGGACAGGATGAAGATAACCCACGAGTACGTCTTGGACGGGCGCTCACGGACCTCGTAGAGCGAACGCTGGATGACGAAGTTAGGCATGATCTGCTGGACGAGCTGGCCGAAAATGGTGAACGACATGAAGACGGCAAAGAGCTGGTTCTGAAGACCCTGCTGCGACGTGTCGGCGCGGAAGAACGAGAAACCGATGAAAAGACCAGTGGCAACACAGAGAGCGATCTTGGACCAGATGTACGACGGCGTGCGCCAGTACTGCTGGAAGACGCGGCGAAGGACCTCGAGGAACTGGAGGCTGAAGGGCGCGGCGAACTCGGCATACGCGGCCTTGTTCGACTTGTCGGACCGGTTCTGCTTCGGGACCAGGGCGCGGCGCTCACGCTTAATTTCCTCGAGCTCCTCGCGGACAGCAACGCGCTCGGGCGAGTCGAGCCAGAGCTGGTGCCAGTCGTAGTCGGTGTGCGAGCCAGGGGCGGCACCAATGGCAGAGAGCATCCACTCGGCCGGGTTCTCGCCGGGCGGGCACTTGGGTGCACCGTTGCGCTCAAAGTAATCGATCAGGATGTGCGACTTCTCGCCGACCTCGCCGTAGTAGACAGTCTTGCCGCCCTTGGCAAGGAAGAGAAGACGGTCGAACTGCTCGAAGAGCATCGCCGAAGGCTGGTGGATGGTGCAGAGAATAGCCTGGCCGTTCGCAGTCAGCTTGCGGAGAAGCATGAGAATGTTCCACGAAGTCTGCGAGTCGAGACCCGAAGTAGGCTCATCAAGGAAGAGAAGAAGCTCGGGCTTGGCGACAAGCTCGACACCGATGGTAAGACGCTTGCGCTGCTCAACGTTGAGACCCTCGCCGGGGACACCAACAACGGCGTCGGCGTAGGCGTCCATCTCGAGGAGCTTGAGGACCTGCTCAACATAGTCGTACTTCTCCTCGCGAGAGACCGTCTTGGGCTGGCGGAGGACGGCAGAGAAACGGAGGGCCTCACGAACGGTCGAAGTCTCAAGGTGCAAGTCCTGCTGCTGGACGTAACCGGTCTTGCGCTGGAACGAGACGTCACGGGGACGGCCGTCGACGAGCATCTCGCCGGAGACAACACCCATAGTCACACGGGTAGCCAGGACATCGAGGAGCGTGGTCTTACCGGCGCCGGATACACCCATGAGAGCAGTGAGAGTACCGGGCTTCACCCAGCCATCAACGTGGTCCAGAATACGGCGGGGCTCGCCCTTGATCTTGATGTCGTAGACGACGTCCTTCCACGAGAAGATGGCGGTCTGGCGCTGAATAATGGCATCGGCGTGCGAGTGTGCCTGGGCGCGCATCTCAGCCTTCTGGCGCTCCATAGCAACGGCCTCCTCGTCGACGGGCTTCTCGCTGTACTTGAGCTCCTTGGGGATCTTGCTGCGCGGGTAGATGAGAATTTCACCCTTGGAGCGCTTGGCAGTAATGAGCTCGGTGGCGGCGAGGTAGACACAGCAGAGGCCGACCATGAACGCGATGATGATGCCGACGTTGCGCCACTTGTGCGCGTGCGTGTAGCGGTACGCGATCCAGAGGTAGTCGTCGCCGTTGACACCGGGCTGACCGGGCTGGGCACCGACCGACGAGCAGACAACGGACTCAGAGGTGCCGGGAGCTGGGTAGCCGGGGCCCATGGGGACCCACTGCGAGCATTCAAATGTACGGCCGTGGAACTCGTTGATCATGAGCGACTCGAACCCATAAGCGATGGGGTCAAGGTAGTTCATCCAGCGAGACCACCCAGGCATGTAGCTGATAGGCAGGGCGAAGCCGGTGTAAATGACGAGGCCAAGGATAAGGACGGCGGCGGGAGCCAGCGCCTGCGTGAGGGAGCGCGAGAGCGAGGCGATAGAGCGGAACATCATGGACATGGTCAAGGTGAGGAGGAAGGAGACCAGGAAGAAGTAGAAGAATGGTCCGACCTCGCGACGCAGGTTGGTCATGAAGTAGAGGGTGATGTTGAAAATGATGGCGTTGCAGATCTTGTAGGGCAAATCACAGAGCATAGACGCAAACGCCTCGGCGGAGGGGTGCGTAAATGCGTACTGTGCGTGCTTTTCGACAATCGGGCGCTGGGCGTACAGGGTGAGAATCTCAAGAGCCGAGCCGAAGGCGTTCATGAGAATGGCGAAGAACAGAAGACCGCCGCGGTTGTAGAACGATGCCGTGTTAGGTTGCAGGTTGTAGAAAATAGACGAAATGATAAGAACCATGATAAGGTTGCCGAAGAGCTGGGAGAGGGTAAGGGAGGGGTCGGCCTTGAGACGCTGGAAGCCGCGGCGAACGCAGAGCTTGATCTGGCCGCCGTACGAGAGGGTGTAGGGCGAGTGGGGGCGGACGTGCTTGGACTGCTGAGCACGACGCGAGGCAAGGAACTGGTTGTACGTCTCGCCGCCGATGGGGTACTTGGCGTTGTACGCCTGGATCTCAGCCTGGAGGGCGGCGTACTCGGGCGACGCCTTCCAGCGCTGCGCGAACTCGCGGGGGGTGACGGGGACCTTGCCCTCGAATCCGCTGCGGGCGCGGCGCTCCGAGGGAGAGGTGAGCGAGGTGAGGAAGTCGGGGGTGGTCTGCTGCTCAGGGCAGTAGAAGCCCATGTCGACAAAGAACTGCTTGGCCTTGTCGCAGCGGCCGAAGAAGATCTGCTCGCCTTCGTAAAGGACCGAGACCTTGTCGAAGAGGTCGTACGCGGCCTGGGGGGCCTGGTAGATGGCGACGCAGGCGGTGGTGCCAAAGAACTCGGCGCCGAGGCGCAGGTTCTTGACGAACTCGATGGCGTTGGCCGAGTCGAGACCACGTGTCGAGTTGTCCCAGCACTGGAGGGGCGCGGAGGCGAGGGTCGCCTCGGCAATCGACACACGCTTTCGCTCACCACCAGATACACCGCGGATAAAGTCGTTGCCGACCATGGTGTTGACGGTGTGCGAGATACCGAAGATGGCCATGACAACGTCACGCATCTTAGTGGCATACTCGGCGGCCGAGAGGCCTCCGGGTGGGTTGCGGGGTGCACGCGCACGCGCGGCAAAGTCGAGCGTGTCACCGACGACGAGCTTAGGGAAGTGCACGTCTACCTCGGCAGTGTAGATGGCCTCGCCACGGAACTGCTTGTACATGCGCTTGGGGTCGATGCCTGGGATGTCAGTTTCTGACCGGCGGACACCAGATGCGTATGCCACAAAAGTGAGGTTAGAGGTACAGGGCCAAACATACCTCGGTAGTTGAGGTCCGACTGCTCGTCGAGGTAGATGCCGTTCATCTCGCCAGCGATGGTCTTGAGCATGGTGGTACAGCCCGAGCCGGGAGGACCAAGAACAACAAGCATCTCTCCCGAATCAAGGACGCCATCGATTGAGTTTAGGATCTGGACCTTGCGCTTGCGGTTGCCGATGAGGTCGCGGAGCTGGCCAAAGAGGTAGAAAGGAATGTTACCCACGGTCTTCTGGTAGTCTGAGGTCAGCAACCGCAATTGCGTTTCGACGTCATTGACATGAGGGGGTGGAGTGCTCGGATTACAACTCGGACTAGCCCAGGGTTGCCCGATTATCTCGTAATTCTCCACCAAGCCCCATTTCGAGAGCAACTCGATACTCACCGGCATCAGAGCCGAAGCCGTGAACGCTCAAATTCTTGAACGCAATACCAGCATAGCGGGGGATGTGGTCCTCGCCGCGTGTCTCGGTGACAACAGAGCGAGTCCACTTGCGAACATTGAAGTTTGGGCTGTAAGGGTCCAGATCGGAACCCTCCTCGTAGTTCCACGGGTTGGCTGCAATCGAACCAGTCGTCACGGTCCGCTGGAGGGCCCCGCTGATCCGGCCGCCGGGGCGGCTGCCCTGGCTCGAGACAGATTGACGGCTCATCGACCGTGCCAAGGCGTGCACCTCCTCGAGGCGCTGCTCTGTCGCCGGGACATACTCGTCAAGCGTCTCCTCCTCGTCGTTCCCATTGCCGCCGCCGAAAGGAGTGGTGATGTAGTTGGCGAGCGAAGGGCGGCGGGTGTGGGACTGGGAGGGACGACGTTGGGGGCCGGCGCCGCCTGAGCGGGCGACGCCGTCGTTGTTGAGGGAATTGAAATTGCCCACCACCGACATGGTGTGATGGGGGCGAGAGGGAGAAAGGTGCTGTGAAGAAGGCGACGAAAAATAGGACGTCGAGAGCGAGAAAGAGAGAAGGACAGGAGAGGGGGGGGGAGAGTCGGAGAAAACAGACAGATAAGACGAAGAGAGGAGAGATAAATCTAGAGGGGCGGGGGGGTTACGGATGTGAGTAGCTTTTTATTCAGATGATGCCCAGCGAGTCTCGGAGTCGATCACCCGAGCTGCACACGGGCAAGGCGGGCAGTTCAGTCAACGTGGATGGCGTTGTCACTGGTGCTGCGCTGTGCGTGCTGAGAAGTGAGAGGGTTATTGACCGGCGGCCATTGAAGGTCAACGGGGCATTCTTCAAACTCCACAAACCATGGATTGGGGCGTCAACACAGGGTTATCCCCCGCTGGAAAGTGCTTGGCTGTATTTTCCCTCTGCTCCGCATCTGCCTCATAAGCTCGCAAGGCCGCAGCCGGGAGCCGAGAGAGGGGATGCAAGGCAGGGGGAGAGCGGAGAGGCTCGGCAGAGGATTGGGGGGAGGAGCACGATCTTTCCAACAAACACGGACATTGAGGTCATCAAAGGTCCCTGACGGCGATAATCATCCCTGAACCCCGGCGCCCGAGGGCGGGGGATGGCCGCCGTGAAAGAGGACGGCCCGAACACTCCACTCGCCAATCTCCTGGGTTCCTGCAGGCACTCTCACGTGGTCCATGTGGGGAATCCGCACTCTCAGTCCGTGTCTCTCTTCTGTCTCACTCTGTCTCTCATCAGGTGTTTCACTCATATCGGTGTATAAACGTGAGATATTGTGACTGGATATCTGCGATCTGCCAGGTGCCTCAAAGAGTTCCACCCGCTGTTTAAAAGGCCTCAAGTACGAGCCATGCTGGAGGCAACTGGAAGTGTCAAGTCAGTGTCACCCAGCATCGCTCGGCATCGCTTGACAATCACGAAATGCAATGTCGGCATGGTCGTGGCTGCAGTTCAGCCCATGCGCCAGGTCAGATCCGGGACATTGCAGTTCTGTTTTACATTCCTAAACTACGTCAGAAATCCGTAGCCGCGGCAGGCGCTCAACAACCGTCCAACAGCCGTATGTCTGGTACGAGCGACCGGAACCATCTTGTTAGATTATTGATAAGCCACGACATAGTAAGCGATGTTTGGAATCTCGTAAGCCGTGTGGCGACGTTTAACGACGAACGAGAATAGGAGAGGGAGGGTGGGCCGAGGGGGGGGAAGAGGAAATCAGATGAGCATCCCCGTTCGTGCTCGGTGATTCGATCATGCCCAGTAAGGCAGGCGACGTGGGTGGTGGGCATCGGACGACGCGAGTGCCTCCAGTCCATGCTTGGGCGCCACCGCCGCCGCGTGAGGACGAGCAGCGGGCGCCGAGTGAGCCGAGTGTGCAGAGCGCGCCGAGTGAGCCGAGTGTGCAGAGCGCGCCGAGCGCTAGCCGATACAATCTCGGCGGCACGCCAAGAGAGCCGCATGCCTCAGCCAATGCCCTTCGGGCTTAAAATCAGTCGCGGCTGTGGATGGTCCTGGGCCCGGCGCCCTCGGCGCCCGCGGCGGTGGGATTCGAGCTCCGAGATCTGAGTGCCCGGTGGTCCTGCGGGGTTGTGCGGAACGTATCTCCAGTGGGACCATCTTCTCAGCTTCTGACACCGGTGCCTGAATGCTCGCCAAGATCGATGGGCGCCGAGAAGCCCTGAAGTCGCGACCGACTGTCTGCCACCCCGAGCCACGGGCCGGCCGCCGCCCGGCATAGTGGCCGCCGAGCCATGCATTTATAGGCATAGCCTGAGAACTGGGAGTCATGAGCTGCCAACGTAGGTATGCAAAGACCACACTACGTCGAGCTACGATTTAGCTGAGAACTCTACCATGCCGAGGTCACCTTGGAATGGAATAGCTCAGCCCGTCGGCGAGGCGAGAGCGAGGTTAACTTAGCAGCAAAAAAATAATGACGCCAGGCGCGATGCAAAGAATACCACGGACACCCCCGAGACCCCGAGGAAAGTAGTGCTAATCGCTCTTCCCCGCTCGCTCATCTCTTCCACTGGCTGCTTAAGCCGCGCCTTTCAGCCCCTCTTCGCCCATAGTTGGCTGCAAGCAGATCCTTCTCCGCGCTCTAGTCGGCCGCGAGTCGGACATCGACACGAATTACGCTGCCACACCTTCGGTTTCCCAATGACACGGCGCACATGCCCAATATTGAGCCCAGGCCCACCGTCATGCCCAATGCCGCCTTCGCCGAATGTCCGACCGCCCAATGCACGCGGGGCCATTTGGCACGCGGCCCAGGGCTCTGTAAATATCTGCTACTGATAACAGATGGCCACGCGGGCAAGGTGGAGGGTGTGATGGAGGGCAAGTTTCGAGGCCCTCGTGATCGCCAGCATCGCCTGCCTCGCAACGCCGACGCCCCCCGCTGCTCAACAGTGGGCGTAAGCAGATCGGCCGGGGCAGGAGCCCAGAGATGCAGGGGGAGTGGTAGATGGGAGAAAGGAAATAAACAGGGACGTGCGCGAGCACGCGCCAGTCGCGATGCGCTTGGCTGGCGTGGTTGGCCTGACTCGAGCCCAGGCTAGGCTGCCGCTGGCGGCTACGGCGGAGGTACGGCGGAGGGGTGGGTGGCGCCGAGCCGCGCGATGCCAAAGGGGCGAAGGCGATTTTCGAACCACACTCTTGTATTTTCGAACATGATGGGCCTCGGACCCTCGTAGGCGTTATCTTTGTTGGGCAGCGCGTGCACAGGCATCGAATCATTGTCCGAAGGCCTACATTACGCCGACCCCGCAGTGGAGGGGAGCAGCATGCACGCGCCCAGAATCAGAAATTTGGAGAGATGCCGACCAGGGCCGAGTGGCGGAGCGATGTAGCTCCGCAAATGTGACCACGTGTGCAGTGTGGCAGTCGGCTTTGGTCGGAGTGCGCCGGCGGTGGAGGCGATCCAGCTCCAGAACAACAACTACCCCGCATTTCTCTGCTATGGCCTACGTCTGACGCTCCTACCGCCGCGGACCAAGTCCGGGGTGGTGGACGTTGATGTGCGAGCGCGCCAAAGATTCTTCTGGGCATCGCTTGTATATAAGACCAGGGATACATGCAATGAGCGATGACGACAACCCGCTCCTCCCTCCTCATTGCTCATCTCTTACTTAGACAAGGACATCTCTGTCCTGTAGACTATCTAGACCTCTACACCAATAGACTGCCCCGGCGCCCCACACACAACAAGTGAGCTCACCGCCGTCGATCAACGCTCATGCCTCCAGTGTCGCGTGACTCTGCCCCCACGATTGGCATCAACGGCTTTGGCCGCATCGGTAGGTCACCAGCCTTGCGCCCCGCCTTGCCATGAGCCCCCACTGACGCCACAGGCCGCCAGCTTTTCCGGATGTGTCTTGAGCGCGCCGATGTCAACCTTGTCGCCGTCAACCACACCGCCGCCTCGCTCGAGCACCTTCTCACCGCTATCCGCTTCGACTCGACTCACGGCCCCTGTCGCCAGGCGAGCGAGATCCGCATCGCCCCCAAGAACCATCCTCTCCTCCTCCAGCCCACGGAGAGCAACCCCAACCCCTCCGCCCTCCTCTACCGCAACAAGGTTATCCACCTGTTCTCGCAGCGCGACGCCACCAAGCTCGACTGGGCCGCCGCCGGTGCCGACTACATCATGGAATCGACCGGCAAGATGACGACTGTGGAGAAGGCTTCAGCCCACCTCCAGGGCGGCAAGGCCAAGAAGGTCATTATCTCTGCGCCCTCCAAGGACGCCAAGAACATCGTCTTCGGCGTCAACCACACCGACTACGCTGGTGACAAGGTCATCTCCAATGCTTCGTGCACCACCAACTGCATGGCGCCAATCGCTGCTGTTCTCCACAAGACCTTCGGCGTCGACCACGGCATGATGACCACCATCCACGCCTCCACTGCCTCGCAGAAGGTCCTCGATGGGTTCAGTGCCAAGGACATCCGCTCCGGCCGCTCTGCTATGGGCAACATCATCCCTGCTTCTACTGGTGCCGCGCAGGCTGTCGTCCGCGTCCTTCCTGAGCTAGCGGGCAAGTTCCAGGGCCTCTCGGTCCGCGTGCCAGTCACCAACGTCTCGCTGGTCAACCTTACCGTCCGCACCACCAAGCCCTTCGGTAGCAAGCAGGAGCTGATGGACGCGTTCCACAAGGCTGCGCAGACCCCCGTCTCCGTCGGCGGCCTCAAGGGCGTCCTCGGCGTCAGCGAGGAGAAGCTCGTCTCCTCCGACTACCTCTCCTCCTGGGAAAGCTCGATCATCGACGAGGATGCCTCGATCGTCCTCGGCGATGGCCACACTGCCACCCTCATCGCCTGGTACGACAACGAGTCCGGCTTCTCCGCCCGCATGCTTGACCTCGCCGTCTACATCCACCGCCGTGACCAGCTGCGTGGGTGGCCCCACACCACCGCCTAATAGGGTGGGTGACTGAACAATGAATTTGGGGAGAAGATGTGCATAGAGCCTCAGGGCATCATAGATCGGGATTTGTGTAGAGACATATGTATCTGTAGCAAAACCGGGCGAGGACGAGGGAGAGGATGGGGAGCAGGGATGGGACGAAGCGGGGAGAATCAGCGAAAAACGAAGGTTCGGATGGCATAGGTAAAGGAAAGCGAGGCAACACCACAGAGTGGCGAGGAAGCAGTGTGGCGATCTGGCAATGAGCAGAATATTAGAGGGACGGTGACAGCCCCAGTCTTGGTTGCGTGGGGAAATCACAGGCAATGCAGAACTCTGGGCTATGCGCTCGTGACGGCCAGTGGGATGTCATTTGTTGTCAGACAATGCGAAGGAAACTCTGTAACCTCACAGTAGCCGCCCAGAGATCTACGCCAAGCCGCCGATCTCCCTGTTGCGATGCGTGGTGGCAGTACTCGGCTGGCCCCGCGGAGCCCAGGCTTCCCCATCCGAGCACCCCAGGCCGATCAGGCCGAGTCTGAGCGCCGAAGAGTTCTTTGTATTCGTTTCCGAAGGAGCCGCGTGCCTCCGATTGTTAAACCCGTCGGAGCGAGGACAAGACTGTGCTGCGGCCCCCCTCTAGCCTGCCGAGGAGCGAGAGCGGAAGGGCGAGGACAGTTCCACTGTGGGCTATGCGTGGGATATGGGATAGAGCTTCTCGGTTTACCATGGGTTCCCGGCCAAACTGTCGGGTTGCCTCTCACCTGCCCTCGACCTATCAGCACATTGCGGATTTGCATCTCCAGATTTAGTCACTCCACAGCCACAGCCTTTACGCCGTACCTTTTGACCTTCTTCTCACCAACTCTACTCTCCACTGAGAGATCAAATAAACGACTGAACGCTTTGTGTGAGGGTGGCGGGGATGGAGGTTCTGGACTTCAGAACAAGTCCAGGCCACTTAGCTCAGCTGGTTAGAGCGCATGCTTAACACGAGTGCGAGTCTTCAACGACGACGACGAGTTACGCATGAGGTCGGCGGTTCGATCCCGCCAGAGGTCATCCTTTTGCCTCTAAGCATAGCTGCAGCATGATACTTGATGCTGTTGGACATGGACTACTGGGGAATTGTTGCAGCGTGGCAGTGTGGCAGTGGGTAGTCACGGCAATGATGTGGAGGATGTTACCGATCGAGCTGACGGGGTGGACGGACGGTGGAACGGCGGCATAGATGCACATTGAGAGCGAGCAACGCGATCTACACCTAGCATATCCTGCTTCGGATGTGCCGTAGCGCTCTCTGGGAAGCAAGCACTCAAGCCTGTTTTCATTGCCCAATCCGAACGGAAATACAATGTCAGTTTAACAGGACTACCCTCCACCTCCACCTCCACCTCACTGACTGTCAACAACCTCCTCGTTACTCGCTCGACATTCCGTCATCCCATTCTCACTCCACCCATTTCCGATATGTCTGACTCCGAGGACGACTTCATGTCCGACAAGTTTCTCGTAGAGACCCCTCTCTCCGCCGAGAGCACCTACTCCGCGCGCCGTCGGCGGGCGGAAGCAGCAGGCGCCGCGAAGGCCAAGGCGAATGAGGTACTTCCCCTGCGGGAGCGGGAGAGGGCTGCGCGAAGCGAGGGTCTGAGCCGATCACTCTTCGTGGAGAAGCCCGGAGAGAAGAAGGAGAGGGGCCAAGCGAAGGCGATGGACCTCATGAAGAAGATGGGGTGGAGCGTGGGTGAGGGGCTGGGGCGTCGGCGTAGCGCAAGCCCGGAGCGTCCCTCCGGCTCCGGGAAGGTGGACAGGGAACGCGATGACGAGCCACGTCGCGGTATCGGGGCGCGCGCCGAGCCCATCCGAATTTCGATGTGGGCTGGCCGGCGCGGTCTGGCAGCTCGTAGCCCCTCGCCTCCTCCACCGCCGAAGCGGGGGGAGATCAGCGCTGCGCGCCAGCGCGAGCTCGACGAGGAGGCAGGGAGCTTCCGTGGTCGCCGCGGAGCTGAGGCTGAAGCGCGCGACAGGGAGCGCAAGGAGGAGAAGGCGCGTCAGATGCTTGTCGAGATGGACGCGGCCAAGGGCGTCACGGTATGTCAAGCGGCGAGCAAAGCTGAACCTAGTTTCACCCATTGCATGCGCGCCCGAGCGATCCCGAGTCTCTGCCCCGGCCCCTTCTCCGACTACTGTATCCGGAGACGTCGCCATCTCCGGGTAACTCGCCGATTCCGTCGCCGCCTCTCACTTCCTCGGCACTACCAGCAGCGCCCCCTGTACGGCCGGCCATCCGCAATAACGTCAACAAGGCTGAGGCACTCCGCGAGCAGATGCGTCGCGACATGCTTTCGCAGCTCGGGGCCAGCGAGGATACTATTCGATTCGGAGTGCCCGTCGCGCGCGACGAGGCGAAGAAGGAGGCTGCAGCCGATGCCGCCCAGACGGTCGCCGTCGACTGGCCTGCCCAGGTGCGCGGCACGCGCCGCGTGCTCGCCATGACTGCTGCTGAGCACCTCGCGTATCTTGTCTCTCAGCTGCGGAACGAGCACCTGTTTTGCTTCTGGTGCGGAAGCAAGTACAGCAGCTTTGACGAGATGGACGGGCCCGGTGGATGTCCAGGCGAGGAGGAGGATGACCACTAGCGCCGCATGTTTGGCGTAGCCGAGTAGTATATGTACATGGTATCATTACAGGGGTCCTCCATCTCCATCTGAGTGTACTCGCTAGTAGATGCGCGCCTTCTCGTTGGCGCGGCGCCGCTCGGCCCGCGCAACGGCCTCCTCGAGGGCCGACACCTGGTCGTGCAGGGTGACGAATAGCTCGGAGACGGTGGAAGTCTGATGTTAGCTCATTCTGAGCACCGAACCCCCTCACGAATTCCGTGTACCGCTCGACGAGGGATGCGACGTCTGCGCGCGTCTCAGCGAGCATGCGCTTCCGTGCTATGAGTTGCGTTCGGCCCGTCTCGAGGGCGGGGGCAAGTGCGACAATGTCTGCTGTCAGCTTGCTGTGCTCGGCAAAGGGAGTGGACACAAGGCTTCTGTAGGGGGAGGGCGACTCACCCTCAAGGCATCCAGCACCTGCGATCCCGCGTCCCTCAAGGAGCGCGATCTCGCGAAGTCCGCGCTCTGCATCGGCGAGGTCGTCGCGCGCTTCAATCACCATGGCCGCCTTAGCCTGCGGACTCAGGACATCGGGCACGTTCTCCTCATCGTCGAGACTTCCGCGAAGCAGTGGCGCGTATGTATCGTCTAATGTTAGCCGATCCTGATCCTTCGACGCTGCCGACCGAAACTCACATCGCTCATACAGCACCTTGAGCTGCGGCGCCTGCGCCACCGCTTCCTCAACAGCCCTGGTCGCCGCTGCAACCCGTCGGGACAGTGTGGCGGCGCCTTCCTCCATCTCCACCTGCCGCAGCTGGGACGCCGGCACACCGAGCACACGGGCCTCGAGCGCGCGCAGGCGCAGTTCGAGCGGCATGCTCGCTGCGGACGGGGGCGGGGTAAGACGCTCTCCTGGGTCGAGCGGCGAGAGTTTGGTGGACGCGCGCGGCTCTCGGTGTGATGCTGCCGACGCGGGCCGAGAGGTCGGCAGTGGGGAGGTGATCGAGGTGACAGAGGCGACGGGCGAGGGAGTAGCTCTGGGGAGAGTGGCCATGATGAGGTGCGTGCCCGGCATGCGGGCGGACGCGCAATAGAGGGATGACAACGAGGAAACGATGGGAAAGAGGGAAGAGGTGGAAGAGGACGATGATGGGACGGACAGAAGGTCGCGGAATGGCAACGCGTCCATTTGAGCTGGGATCGTCGTGGGATTCCGTGACATCACCCTCTTCGCTTCTTCTCAACTCTTCTCAACTTTGTCAATTTCCTACTCTCATCTTGACCCACAATGCCCGCTTCACTCCCTCGTCCTTTGTTTGGAGGAGCCATCAGCCTCCCTCTTCCTATCGATTACATTGACGCCAGGTAGGTCTTACGGTACGCCGAGGCGGGCGACATTCTCCTTCGAACAATGTGCGATTGGGTGGCAAATCCACGACCTCGGCGGGTCGCATTCAACACAGCAGGATATCGCGTCACGCTGAGCTGAAGCTTGACATGCAGCAGGCCTTTAAGGAGAGGAGGATTTATCTCATCGTCTTCTCGTTGCTGGCACTGGTGCTCGATCTCGATGGTTGTTGCCTCTTCCCAACCGATTGCGTTTGCGTGTGCGCTTACCTTAGCGACCTTCGTCAAATCCCGGACAACCAGGAGGTTTTTCTGTCGCCCACAAGTGACACCAGCGTAATCCTCGAGGTCCTCGGCCTTGTTGAGGAGGGGGCCGCTAAGACGGACCTGTGGGAGGCGGCCAAGTGAGTCTGCCTGTGTCTTACTAAGCCCTGTGGCAACTGATGTTTTTCCACGCGCTGTGCTTACTCCAGGTTCCACTTTGGCTCACTGGCGCACGACAACGCCGCCCTTGCATCAAATATCACAACACCGCAAGAAAATATCCCAGCGCCACCTCAGCAGGAGGTCTCGGCGTCCGACCTGGCCAACCTCCCCACACCCAAGCCTGTTGTGATTGCCGGCACCCAGACGATCCACAAGTACAGCCATGACCCGCGCGGCGGTCCGCGGCCGGGGCACGAGGGTGACGCACCGGACGACGTGTTTATCGGTCTCGCGCTCTGGCGCATCAATCTTCAGATAGGCAAGGAGCGGAAGCGCGCCGACCTTGTTCTCTCCATCAATGTGCCGGCCGGGGCTGGGACGAAGGAGCGCGACGTGGCTGAGAGGTGGTTCAAGGCGGCGGCGGACGAGCTTAGGATCGAAGACTGGGGACTGTTCGCCAACGAAGTGTAATCGTAGAGCAAGTGCCAGGCAGCAATGATACGATGACAACGTCTAGTGCAGGTGCAGGACATTTCCGTTGGCATTATCCATGCATGATTTCATGGATCGTGCACAGATTGAGCCAAACGCCGTGCGCGCGATGCGGAGATCAATCACACTGACACTGCGGTCGACACGAGCTCGCGGCAGCAAGTTGAACTCTCGATGGACGTCTTCCATATCTCGCAACACCCCATCAGGCTGGTGGCGAGAGAATAGACATCCGTGTTGCGATGGTGCCGATGCTGCCTCTGTCGGTTTCATCGCCTGAACCCAAGGCTACGCATCTCCCTCCTTTCGCGCATCCCACGCTCGCCCCGACGCACATCGTCACCATCTCTTTGAACGGCATGCCAGCGCAACACCGAGCCGATCTGCAGCAAGTCTTCCCACGGCTACTCCTCCCTGCGTTCCGTTCTACGCGATTCACGCCGCAGTCTGGCCCCCGACCCTTCCCCTCCTCTCCTGCGTCCGCGGTATTGGATATCAGTCATACAGTGCATCCCAATGCGAGTGTGAAGGATTACGAGCGGGGCTTCTCCCTGTTTGTCAGCTTTTGTTCCAGCCCGGTCTAGTTCAGCCGGGTGCACTCACTTCTTCTCCTTCCAAAGAGCAAGAAGACCGACGCCCGAGACCTTAACGACCTTGAAGCGAACACCGGGAATGTCACCCTTGGCCTTTCCGCGACGACCGAAGCCCGAGATGAGAACCTCGTCGTTCTCGTCGGTGAAGTTGAGGCAGCCGTCGTTGGGGACGAAGGCAGTCACCTTCTTGCCGTTCTTGATGAGCTGCACGCGCACACACTTGCGAATGGCAGAGTTGGGCTGCTTAGCCTCGACACCGACCTGGGATTAGCGACTGCTACCGCGCGTGCAGCTAAGCACATGGCAATAGAAGAGCGAAGTGTGGGGTCAAGGGAAGAGCCAGACGGTGGGCGGCGAAAATCTCCAAAGCTGCAGCGTTGCGTTCTCTTGTCCGCGCAGTCGTGCACAACGGACTGCACTGCACGCCGACAACGTAGAAACTGCCCAGCGTGCCCGGAGATCCTTCGCCGCTGCCTCCTCTGGCCAGGCCATAACCATCAGGCCATCGCCGTGGCTTCCCTTCCCTTCATTCTCCAACCCCGTCTCGAATTGCCATCCGCCCGTCCGATTCGCCTCACCTTCTCGAGGACGATGCCCTTGGCGTGCGACGAGCCACCGGTAGGCGAGGTCTTGTAGAACTTGCCGAGGGCGCGCTTGTTGTAGTCCTTGTCCGCCCAGCGGTTCTCGCGGCGCGAGGTGCGGAGCTTACGGGCGGCCTGAAGTCCACGCGGCTTGTTCGCTGTTGGGTACGAGCGAAATGACGAACAGGGCGCGCACAGCAGGAGTAGGGATCATGGGCATTCGTTTGGGGGACAGTGGAGTTGGCGGATGGGTGCGGGGGGATGTCGGGCAGGGTGTCGTTGGGATGGGGATACGCGGTGGTACGCGGTTCGGATCGATCGAGAGCGCGGGGCGAGACGGCGAGAAGCACGGGTCAGCATCCCTCCTCGCTGTCACGGAGGCGACTTACAACCCATTTTGACGTTTGATGGATGGAGTACTCGGAGCGAAACGCCTCGCTCGACACCACCCACCGCCGTCCACGGACCCTGGACGGTGAGGTGGGAATTGATCCCGAGAGGGGGGACATAAATCACGTGAGCTTAACGCCGACGGCCGAAGAGCTGAAATCATCAGCTGCGATTAATGTGCCTGGCTCTCACCCATCGGCTATCAACCATCGGCGCTGGCCGTGCTGCCGTGAATTGCCGCCCGTCAGTTCGCCCATGTGCTCTTGCCCACCACCACTCCGCCCACAGCCGCATCGCGAGCGACAAACAGCCTTACGCGACGACGTACCCAAACGTGCTTAACTTGTGGAACCTCATCTGGTCTCTTCCCACTGCCTCTTATCCGCAATGCCCATCGACACAGCCAAGCTCCATCCGGCGTACGCTTCCGCGTTCATGCCGTTCCCCTCCCGCCGCTCCACAGTGTTCAGCGCGAAGGGCATGGTCGCGACGTCACAGCCCTTGGCTGCACAGGCAGGCCTCGAAATCTTGAACAAGGGCGGCAACGCGGCCGACGCTGCTGTCGCCACGGCCGCAGCCATGAACGTGTGCGAGCCGACGGCGACGGGGATCGGCGGCGACGCCTTCTGTCTCTTCTACGATGCCAAGAGCAAGAGCGTGCACGCCGTGAATGGGAGCGGGAGAGCGCCAAAGGCTCTTACTCTCGAGTACCTCCGGGAGCAGGGCGTCACGGGGGACAGCATCCCCCTGACCAATCTCAACTCAGTCACTTGCCCGGGCACGGCCGCGGCGTGGTGTACGACCATTGAAAGGTTTGGTAGTCTCAGCTTGGCCGAGGTGCTGGCGCCGGCGATCAGGATGGCCAAGGAGGGAGTCCCCGTCCACGAGCTAAATGCCGAGGCGTGGAAGATACAGGAGAAGCACGTCAAGGGGGCTAGCGACAACTGGCGAGAGTGAGTGCGAGTGGGAGATGGTGAGCCCCACGTGGCTAGCGGACTGACTCCAGGATGATGATGCCAAACGGCAATGCCCCGCTTCCCAGTAACATCATGGTACACGCCGAGTTGGCGGCGACGTTTGAGGAGATTGCAGCATCGGGGCGCGATGGGTTCTACACGGGCCGCATTGCGCAGGCGATTGTTGACCTCGTGCGCTCCAAGGGCGGACTGATGACGCTGGACGACCTCGCTGGCACCACGGCTGACGTTGTCGAGCCGATCAAGTATGACTTCCGCGCAACTGACGCGGACCCAGGCATCAGCCTGTGGGAGTGTCCGCCCAACGGACAAGGTCTTACGGCACTTGTCGCGCTGGGCATTGTCGAGGCCGTGCAGGAGGTGCATGGCGTCGATGTGCTCGATCTAGAGCTCAACAGCGCAGAATACCTGCATGTGCTGATTGAGGCACTACGCCTTGCATTTGCAGACAGTGAGTGGAACTTGGGCCCATCATGACAGGAGTCTTACCCCAGCGCAATACTATGTCACCGACCCCGAGTTCGAGCACATCCCCGTCTCCGAGCTCCTCTCGAAGGTACGACAACGCACATGCTCAGCTGACCAAAGGACTACCTTCGCAAACGCGCGGCCCTCATCAACTTGGCGCACGCCACGCCCGTCGAGCACGGTAATCCGACGTCGTCATCGGATACGATTTACCTCGCAACCTCGGACGCACATGGCAACGCCTGCAGCTTCATCCAGTCGAATTATGCGGGTTTTGGCACAGGAGCCATCCCCGCCGGGTGCGGCTTCACGCTCCAGAACCGCGGCAGCAACTTCACCTTGCGCGAGGGACACCCCAACAATGTGGCTGGTGGCAAGCGGCCGTACCACACCATCATCCCAGCCATGCTGACGCGCGGCGACGACCTCGTCGCTGCGTACGGAGTTATGGGCGGGTTTATGCAGCCGCAAGGACACCTCCAGGTGCTCTTTAACATACTGCGGGGTTTGAGCCCACAGCAGAGCCTCGACGCGCCCCGCTTCTGTATCAGCGCTGGACTTCCCGATCCGTCAAAAAAGGAGAAGGGGAGCGCTGGGCAGGTCGACTCTGAGATCTGGTTCGAGGAGGGGATCGATGAGAGCGTTGTGGAGACGCTGCGGGGTGCGTTTGGCCAGGAATACACAAAGGTGAGCGCTGATCGTAGGCATGGGACACCGATGCGAAATTGCGCGGGGCTTCGCACGCAAGATTGCGGGTCGTGGGCAGATGGTGACCGCTGTGCGCGACCCGAGTGGGCGCACTGTCTGGGCGGGCGGCAGCGACCTGCGTGGCGACGGGTGCGCCGTAGGTCAGATTTAGCAGGCTACAGCATATGCATGACAGTACAATCAGTCGTCTTCCTCCTTCTTCTCCACCTCTGCCTCCACTGGTTTCTCTATGCGCCCCAGAGCCGCGCTGACTGCTCCTACAGCGTCGAGTGGAAGCGGCAACGCTCCGAGGGCGTACCGCCGCCGACCGAGACAGGCGAGGCGGTAGAACTCTGGCGCGAGCAGCTCGTCAGCCTTTTCGCTACGTCCGGGCGGATTGCGATGCAGCAGCACGTGGTACGTCGCTGTCGCTACGCTGGTCGCTGCGGGTCCCGCCATGCCTAGCGCGAAGGACGCGGGTGGGAAGATGGTTGGTGTCGATCCCGTCCCTCCAGGCGGGAGGGTGACGCAAAGACGATGGTTGAAGCTCGCGGCGGAGGCAGCCAGGGCCTCATCTATAATGCTCGCACTTGGGTCGGCGAAGGTGCTTGGTGGGATGTTGGCGACAGGGGCGCGGGTCCGGTTGGGTCCGTCGCTGGACGGTTCGCACATGAGGAGGCTCATTGCGTCCGTGTGGCCGTTGTACAACCATTTCCAGGCTGGCGTTAGCTAGCGTCATAATCAAACCTCACCGTCAAGTTCGTCTACGCTCATCAGTCCGTAACGGGTAATGCTGGCGCGCCACTCCGTCGCCGCCTCCGCCGCGAAAGACAGAACGACGTCCCACACGCGCGATACTCTGTCACGCGTGGTACATTTCTCCAGTTTCAGTGCCTGTACGTCAAGGGCATCGCCCTGCGCATCCACGACCGCCACTATCGCCGTCTCCCACTCTGGCACCCACGCGTAAGCGGCGTGTACTTGGCGCCAGCGGTTCAACACATCGTAGCTCCGTTGTGGCCATGCCATGCTCAGTTCAGGCTTAGGTGCCTCCTCCCCGGCCAGGGTGAAGGCATGGAATCCCATCCAGAGTTTGGGCATGTCGAGTGGCTTGCCAAACATGGTCACACGGTCGACGTGACGCGGGACTAGGTCGTAGACTTGGAAAGCGATGGTGGCGAGGTTCGATGGACGCAGGGACGACAGTGGAAGAGGGTACACCCAGTTCGTCTGGGCCTTAGGCGCGAGCAGTGGCACCAGCGAGGCAGGCGAGAGTGTCGTTGTGCTTGTCAGGACGAACACGACCGTCGGCTTGCCCACCAACGATGTGCCGCGGAGCCTACTCGCAGTCGACCACACCTCGACCGAGGGCACCGCAGCGACTCCGTCGGTAGCCAGCTCGTGTGCTCCCGCCACTAAAGTCCCAAGTCGGTTCGCCTCGAACACCTCGCTGATGTCCGTGAGGAAAGTCTGGGCGCGCTGGACGTTGTATGCACCAGGGGCACAGATCACGAAAGCGGCAAGGTCCTTTGGTCCGCCGGACGGCATCAGGCCCAGTTCGCGCCAGTATCGTAGCGCAGCAACATTAACGCGCATAACGTTGCTTCCATAGCCGACGTGCACGGAGGGCTGCTCCAGAGAGTATCTCTCGCTGTCCGCGAGAGCACCAGCCACGTCGCTCACGGGCACGCCGCCGCGCACGATCATCGACGCGGGGCGTGGAAGCTCCCGAGCAGTGACGTCGGAAGTCTCAAAAAGAGCGCGAAAGAACGAGTTGCGCACGATTGCGTTTGCGAACAACTCGACGTTAAGTGTCGGCTGCTGCGGCTCGGCGAGGCGCGGCGGAGATGTTGGCGTCGGGTAGTCTGGCTCTGGGCGGATGTCGACCCACGACACTGCCCAGGCACGTGCAAGAGTTGCTGCAGCATTGATATCGAACTGCAGCGATGTCCACTCGCCTCCGATACACACTGTCCCGTCGTACTCAACCTCATCATCCGGAAGCGCGGGCAGCGCCGCCAGTTCGTTCGTTGGTGTCCTGTCATCGTACGAAACCGTCGATGATGGCGTCGGCGGGGCGCCTGTCGTGACCGCTGACTCGCACTCCGAGTCGCTGCCGTCGCTCTCAATATCCCACGCGGCGGTGTACGGGAAAGCAACTGCCTTCTCTTTCCCCGATACACTCTCCCGCAATCTCTCCACGCAGCCGAGCCTCAGAGATGACACTGTAGCTGCGGGTGAGGGCAGACCGTATGCAAACTTTGGCCGCTTGCTCGTGCCAAGTTGCACAGGCGCAAAGGCGTCCGGTACAATATCGATGTAGCGGCGTTTCCGGGGCTCTTCCTCAACTAAAACAATTGAAGGAGACGAAGGCTTCGTCATGCACTCCTCTACCGCCTCAGTGAGTATAACCTCTGGTTCGGGGAGAATCTGAACTTGCACTTCTGTCAACGCCTCAGGCTCATCTTCGAGGGCCGAAGAGAGGCTCGCCGGGGTGGCATCAGGTAGAGGGATGGAGAGGTATGCCGCGGCTGGCGTTGCGAGCACCGCCAGCTCCTTGCCAGTGTGGTCATCTAATGGTGGGTGGGGCGCGTGGAATATCTTCGCGGGACTGGTTTCCGCCGCCGGCGAGTCAAAGAAGTTGAAGTCGTCCTCTGTGACCTCGCGTGGTGAGCCAACCTTGCTTGACAGCTGGGTATTCGTCGGTATTGGCGGGGGGAGCATCACGGGGGCTGGAGTGGTATCGCCCGCCTCTTCCCTGTCAGGAACCACGGTGTCCGCGTCGTCGTCGCCGAACAAGTCCTCGTCCAGCCCCATGTCGACGTCAAGAGCGTTCAGACCCGGAGTCCCAAATGCTGAGGACGTGAAGAGCTCCCCGACGTCCGTGCCAATCGTAGGTGCCCGGCTCACCGCCCTGCTGGCTGTTGGTGCCGGTGAGGTGTGGGCAGAAAATAGATCGTCCGCGTCCGACTCCTTGCTTCCGTCGTCCATAGCCACGTCCCCGTTCGCCTCGGGAGGCTCCTCCTCACCATCATCATCATCATCCTCGGCCGGCGCGGTGTAGCTCCCAAGAAAATCGAATACTTCTGTCGCAATGCTCATGAGGTCGAACGGGGAGCCAAGCGCGCTATCCGGTGGGACGAATTTGGCGGGAACTGGCGGAAGGCTTCGAGCGAGGGGTCTTGCGAGATGGGTCGGCCAGACAGTAAGCACACCATTCGAGCCGCGCCACTTGGTCGCGAGAGCGTGCGGCAATGTGCGTGCGAGATCCTCTTCCCCTCGCTCCAGCGGAACCCAATACACGCTCCAGTCATAAGCACATCCATGCGCGGCCTGCGCGGCGACACGCGCCTCTGACCGCCCATTCTTCCAGCCCGACCCTAAGGCTAAGTCGAAGGCCGCAGATAACCGCACGTCCTGTGCGGGCGTGGGTCCGACAGGCGCGACAAGGAGAGCGGGAAGGGCGAGCGGGCGGAGCACGAGTGGGTCTACGCCAGGATCGGTGCGATTGTGCCGCTGCGGCGCGCATGATGGGAGGGGGCGGAGCTGGGCGGTAAGAATCAACTTGCCGGGTGCTGGGCGAAGGGAGACATCGAAGGGCGGATCAGCCAGCGTGGCGTCAGAGGGGAGCAGGGAAAGCCGTGTGCCGAGCTTCCACGCGACCTTCTCGCCGACTGCGCTCTCAAGAAGCGGCCAAGACTCTGGCGGCGTGAAGGTCGGGACACACTTGTCGTCGGTGTCGGGCGACAAACAGTCCAGCGTGTGTCCGTGTTCTGAGCACGTCACCGTGTCAGCTATGCGGATTGGTTGCGGGACATCAACCTCTGCCCGTTAGCGCAGCGTCCGTCAAGCCGACGTACCTGTGAGGCCGAGTGACTCTAGAGCCGAGGCGGGCGCATCATCCGGCGAGAAGACCCACAGCTCGCGTCGTTCGCCACCGGGCTTGACAACCGCACAGGGGCGCTTAAGCACTGCGGCGGTGACGTCTGAATCGGAGGCGTTGATAGCGAGCCATGCGCGCTCGAGGGGGTCGTTGCGCAGCCGATCTAGCGTAGTGGAAGGTGAGGGTGGACGAGGAATGAAACTGTGCGTGGTGCGGGTGGGCGAGAGTTTGACTTCCGTCTGTGAGGGGGTGCCCGGTTGGCTCTTGAGCGCTGCGACGGGCGAGCGGAGCGCGGTTGGGCTCCTGATTCCAGGCAGAGAGAGGGCCGGCGACGGTGCGACGGCGGGAATGGCTAGGCGCGCCGGGGAGAGACTGAGGGACGCGTCAGGCTTCTCCTCGCCATTCTGCTCGGGCTGCGGAGTACCTGTCGTTTCTGGGGGTGGCGGGTCGCAGGGTACGATGGGGGGAGCAGTATAGACGCGCACGTAGAGGGTTTCTGGCGCGTCGAGGAGCCACAGCCCCGGGATCGGAGTGGTGGGGCGTAGAGGCTGGCCAGCTAGGATGTCGGGGGCCATGCTATCTGCGGCTCGGCATGCTGCTGAGGCAACGGCGATGGGGAAGAAGCTGAGGTGAAAGAGGACGCTGCTGGAGGATAAAAGAGGATGACAATTGGGCGATAGATGATTGCGGCTCGAAGGCGAAGTGATGTTAAAGGGTGAGTGAGCATTTTGGTCAACTCGCGTTTCACACCCACACCAACCAAAGCGGCCCCGCTCTTGCTCATCGTCGCACCCTCACTCAATTTCCATGCCCCCTCCCCTCGCACGACCGCATGTCTCATGCATGAATAAAGAACCCAGCGGAGCGTTCATGACTGTCATCAACGCAGCCCAGTCAATGCTTGGTCTGGTCGCGTGGATGTCATCTCTATCTTGTATACTACAAGCGTTGAATTACAGAAGGTCAAGGAGGTCGCCCGAGCCCGACGATGGGGCCGGCTTAGACTGGGTCTGCTGGCCAGCTGATTTGGGCGCGCCCCACAGTCCGGCGTTTGTTGTCTCCTTCTGCATCTGGGCAATTGTCTTTTGGCCACCATCCTGCTGGGGCTTGCTAGGTGCACCGAGCGAGGCCGTAAATAGGTCATCAAAGGCCGACGCGCCACTCTTCTTCTGCGCCTGGGCAGGCGTCGAAGCAGGTTTGCTGGCCATGCCGCCAGACATGCTGTTCATGCCGCCACCCATACTGCCCATCCCACCCATACCCATGCCGCCCATGGGCTGTGGCCTCTGCGGGGAAGCCACGCCGGACATGCCGCCAAATGACGACTGCGTCTGGTGCGGGGGAGAGGTCATGCCCGAGCCCAAGCCGCCGAAAGAGGGTTGAGACTGGGCAGCTGGAGACGTCGAGGCAGCTGACACCGGCGACATAGGCTGCGACGACGCGTTTAGGAGTGCAAAGAGATTAGCGTTGGCGCCCGACGGAGCGGCAGGTGCAGTCGCTGCAGGGGATGTTGGGGCGGGAGCCGAGGGAGCAGCGCTCTGGAAGTCGTCAAAGTCGTCGTCGCCGAATGCGTCCACAGGAGCAGCAGGCGCCGCGGGCTTGGACGCAGGAACAGCTGGCTCATCATCAAAGTCGAAGAGGTTGACCTCGGGCTGCTTTTGCTGCTTCTTGGGCTCGTCCTTGGGTGGCTTGGGCGGAGCCTGGGGTGGTCGAGAAGCCTGCGCACTAGCGCGCCCGCTTCCAGGGCTGGGTCTACGCGAGTCAAAGTCGTCCGCCCCCTCGTACTCGTCATACTCTGGGCGCTGCTGGGAGGAGCTCGCACGCGCGCTTGACCCGCGGTACTCGTCGTCGTTGCCATAGCCGCCGTAACGCGAACCCGAGCCTGAGCCCGAACCCGAACCACCGTTGTAGCCCCCCCCACCACCACCGCCACCGCTGCCACCGCCGGGGACGTAGGACTCGCTCCCGAACCCGCCGTAACGGCTTCCAGTAGCCGTGTTGAACATGCCCCCCTCATGGCCCTGGTACTTGTTGCGGTTGGAACGAGCCTTGCGGCGTTCCGAGCGAATCTTTTCGACGTCGCCAAGAAGCGCGACAATCTCGTTGGCGCGGTTGCGGACTCACTGTCAGGAGCTGAAAGTGCAGATGAACTCACCATTGATACCCTGGTCCTTGCCCTTCTCGTCAATGTAGTGGAAGTTTCTGAGCATCTTGATCGTGGAATTGTGCGCACGCGCATTATCAACAACGCGCTCGCTACCGTGCTTGATCAAATACTCGAGGAGGGTGAGAGCCTGCGGCATTAGCTGAAGAGCCTTGGGCCGCCGCGTTGCACAGGTCGCGAGGGGGCGTACCGAGAGACACAGACCTTGTAAATCTGGCGCCATTCCCGCGCCTCCTTCTCCATGAAACGCGAGTAAATGGTCGGCATGATCTCGTTGAAGTGCTGGTAGTTGTGTGTTCCCTGCGCAATCTCCTGCATCAGAGTCGACGACGCACCCCTGCTGTCAGCTTCGCAACGGCAAGCCCACATACCAAGGGTCCTCGTTCGTTGCCTCGCGGACCTTAGCCTCCATCTCTGGAATGTTGAGGACGGCGTTCTTGGCCTGGTTGTAGTACGACTTGAGGTCGTACATAGTGATCTGAGACGCCTTGTTGGCGAGGTCTGGCGTTAGCGTTCGCCCGGAGTATGGGGGAAGAGTCATCTCCGCGGGACATGTTGCAAGACACTCGGTGAGCGACGCACTTTCAATGACGTCCATGTTGAGCGAGTGGGCGTTGGCCCTTGTGTTTAATCCAACGATGGATGAGCGATGGGGCAGCAAGGAGTGGTGGTGAGTACGAGCCAGTCGACGATGGAGCGTTGGGAACAGACGACGCGAGGGAAGGTTGAAGCGCCGAGCTGTGACAAGACACGTCCACGCCCGTGCCGCTCAGGGCGGAGTGCAGGGGGGATCCCCGCCGAGGACCTCCACCGGAGAGCGTCATTCCACTGCCACATTCAGGAATCGCCGATTACCCACGGTGAGGCCTGCATTAATCGCCACCTAATGTTCATCCAATCCATCATCACATTGTGTTGCATTGTTGTTGTCGACAGTTCCCTCGCTGCCTCAACCCATTCTTTCTCAACGCGTCTGACACCATGTCAGTCAAGACAGAGGACACAAAGCCTTTAGTAGCTGTCGACGGTCACGAAGTGTTCAACATCCCCGTTGAAGAAGAGGAGCTCGATGTAGCGCCTTCGCACGGCCAGTCCAAGATCTGGGCAATGAAGGTGCATCATTCTTCGCCGCTTCAAGCTAACACCAGATCCCCCGATTCCTTTTGGAGCGCTGGGAGCGTGTCAAGCAGGAGGGTGTGCACCTCGGAAGCTTGATTATCGACAACAAGTCAGTCAGATTGCGGTCGGCAAGGGAAGGTGGATTGCGACTGACAGTGTAGCTCGATTCCGCCAAAGATTACACTCAAGCTGCCTTCCGAAGAGGACAAGGAGCCACCAACGAAGCGCGCAAAGTTGAATACGGAGGGCATTCCCGACGAGTACGAGGTCGTCATGCCCAGCGAACGTGTCAAGAATACGTTTATCTTCAGCGAGAATGAACGCGTGTGGGTCGCCCAGCCTGGATCCGGCGAGGACTCGCAACGTCGCAAGCATCAGAAGGGTGGGTCTCCCTCAAGTCGGCGATGTAGTTGGCCTGCCTCCAGAACCACTCGCAATCCCTGGCCCCCGCAGACATGTTTCTAGTTGCGCAGCCATAAGAGATGACCACGAGAGAGCATTACTAATTCCAGCCCACCCGCGCTTGATTGGTGCGCTCGACCACGAGGCGAGCGTCCGACCCGTCAAGAGCTCCAAGTATCTCAAAATCCTCGAGCAGCGGCGCTTGGATAACGAGAACTCGAAGCGTCCCATCGTCCAGCTGGACGACAAGAACATGTCGCAGGCCAAGCTCAATCAGCTGGCGTCCGGTTTTGCCAACGCGTCCTCTAAGCTTGGCAAGGGCATGATTGTAAGCCCCGGCATCCAGTGGGTTCCGTGCTGACTATAGGTTGGTTCGGCCAAGGTTGCGTCTGGCGAGCGGTTTGCTCGCATGGAACGTCGAGACCTGCAGCATCGCTTGTTCCAGCTGTTCAACGAGAAGCCGTATTGGAGCATCACGGCACTCAAGGCCACGCTCCAGCAACCGGATACTTGGCTGCGCGAGGTGCTCAAGGATGTTGCCGTGCTCATCCGCGACGGTCAGTACGCCAACATGTGGGAGTTGAACGAGTCCTGGAAGGACGTGGGCGGCGGAGACACCAAACCTTCCGTCGATGGGGCCAAGGAGGACGAGGACAGTAGCGAAGAGGAGGATGACGAAGAAGATGAGGAAGACGAGGATGACTTTGAGGTTGTGCCCGTCTAGAGATGGGTTTTACCTGTTTGCTGTTTCTAGAGCATAGCGTTCCTTGCACTGCATACTTCACGCCGTGTCTGCATTTATGTATCAGTAGGTTGTATCTGAGAGAGCGTGGGGTGCTTGATCGTAAACTGACGTGCTAGCGTGACAGCTTTGAAGCATTCTATGCGGGAAGCCAAGGAACCTATCCACGCATGCCTCGCTCGATGCGGTCATCGCTCACAGTCGGCGGTGCCGCCGTAGTTATCGAGATGAAACAGCCAATGACGGCTGCGAATTCGAGATGAGCGCCCGGGATAACCTTAAGTGTTAGGTCCAACAAGCATGTTGAGCCTCCATGCCGGCATCCAAAAGTATTGCCCACCTTCCATCGTCGCTTTCCCACATACTCATGCTTTCGGCTGCATCGGTGCAGCGAGACTCCTCGGTCACGTTTTCTTGCTGCCCCGTTCCCCTCTGGTCACAAGTCTGCTATGTCTTGGCACCACCGGCTTCCTCCAGATGGCACGCAGCAATCTCATGATCGTTCCTTCATCTACCCTCCTCTGGTCTCCCGAATGGGCCTCGCTTCGACACACCGCGTCGTGGCGGTGCCGAACCTTGCCTGATGCAGCCCTGTACTTATACCCACTACTGTCCCTCTGATCCCCACTCGTCCTTCTCTCTCCACCATGCTTGCCTTGGCAGTCTCCGTGCTCTCCCTGGGCGCGCTTGCGAATCCCTTCCCGGTATCCGAAGCGAGCAAGTTCTCACTTTCGGATCGCTCGCCCAACGTCCATGCCCGCCAGATAGTTGTAGAACTCTGCGCCGGGTCGCCTATCTTCGAGCGCTGCGGCGGGCCCTGGTGCGCTCCGCAAGGCTGGTTCTGCTGCGGGCTCGGCGCATGCCCAAACGGCGCGTCATGCCTCGACCAGCGGTGGTGCTGCTTTGAAGGTCTCACCGAGCAGCAATGTCGTGCAGGTATGTGTCTTAGTCGAGGGTAGCAAGAAAGGAGTGCTGACACCAGGGATCGAGCAGGCCAGCTCGATGGTACAGGACCCATCGGCGGTGGCAAGCATGCTCACGCGCTCCGACATCCTGAGCGTGCTCACGGCATCGTTTACAGGCATGCCGTCGGGCTTCCCCACCGGGGCCGCCACCGGATCGCAAAACGGGGCCGCGCCGACCCAGATGGCCATCACGCAGGGCGTTGATTCTGGCTCTGGGGCCGGTAGTAACTCGAGCATCCCCGGTGGCAGTGGTGGCAGTGGAGGCGGAGGCGGAGGCGGCGGCTCGAGCAGCTCCGGCCTCTCCATAACTGAAGGTCGGACTCGCCGCACGATCTATCTGGAAACTGAGGTCGAGTTTACTCGAGAGTGGTCTGTGCAGTCCTGGTGCATGGCCCGCATTCAGGCCCTCAGGACGAATGAGACGGGCGCGACGATAAGCTTTGAGATTGCCGGTGAGTTTTCGATGTTCTCGATCAGCGCGGCTGACGTCAGCCGACGTGGCCGGCTTCACGCTGTCGCACGATATATTTGTGGGCGGCACGCTGTCTATCTCGCAGTCACTCTCCGGTGGCGCTGCGGGCATCGCGATCGGAAACATAAGTACGAGCGCGCGGCCCATCCCGATGGGTCCCCCGAGCAACACCACCTGCGCGGTCACGTACGTGTTCACGCGCGAGACGTCGTACACCATGTTCGGGGAGAGGATCACCCTCATCTACGAGTCGTCCAATGCTGGGTCTACCGCGCCCGGCGCGCCCGCCCTGCCCACTACGCCCAACATGCCTGAGGCACCCACGGCGCAGGGCAGCAGCTGCCGCATCAACGGCATCACACTGTACAAAGATCAGAACGAGCTGGCGGCCGTCAAGGTCGGTGACGCCTTTCAAATTGATCTGGACCCCTCGATGGCGGGCACCAACACATCAGCGAGTGGTACCTCGGGCACTGGTGTCTCCGGATTGCCCAACGCCGCCACAACACTCACTGTGCGCTCGACCCTTTGCGCATTCTTTGCCGTCGCCTTGCTGTTGGCCTATTAGCTCCGTTTTTCAATGCCACCCCTAGCTGTTGTTACACGAGGTGCTCAGGCATCTACGCCTTGCCTAGGATTGAAGCGTTTGCGGGCCATAAACATCCAGTTCAACTCTTGGCACTGTTCGTGTTTCAATCTGAACCAAATTTCGCAGCGGTCACATTGACGGGAAGTTGTGAGCATTCAGCAGGCAAATCCACCCATGTAAACACTGCTGCCTATAGCAGTGCCTCACTCAGTCGGTTTTCCTACGTCGGTCAGTGAACTTCCACTGAGCATTCCATCTCGTAATCAAAGCTCCAGCCCATGATCCGTTGTGCGGAGGGTGCGAACAGAAGTGTACCAAAGGGAGGTTGGTTCTCATCGGTGGAGGAATCGACAGAAGCATCACGTGATCCGGTTCACGGGATCTAATTTTCGGTGAAGTTCTGGTCCATGAGCGTCAGCTGTCACTCACCATCGTACTGTCCATAGCGAGCAAGCATCATGGTCCGCTCGTACATGCGCCATGGGCCTACACAGGTGAGATTGAGGAACGCAGAAAAAAGCTGATAACAGGCCTTTGGTGTTATCTGCTCCCCAACGGCCAACAGCAGCTACGACGGGCGCCTGGCCTACGTCGCAGGCTGGGAGGACGTTCTCGTCTGGGATGTGAAGCGCGGCGAGCTTGCCTCAATGTGGCATGCGACCGGCGTCACCTCTCCCATCACTTACCTTACTCCCGCTCCGGCGCCGGAAGAATCGACCTCGAGCACTGCCCGGACGTTCGCCGTCAGCTACACGGACGGAAGTATCCGCCTGTGGTCATGGGATCCCGAGACGCCCGGTGTTGAGGCCGTTGAGGTCGTCACGTTCAACGGACATAAGAAGGGTATCTCGACCTTGGCATGGGATGTAGACGGCGGACGTCTCGCGTCAGGCGGCAGCGAGGGGGAGGTTGTCGTCTGGGACCGCGTTGCTGAGGTTGGCTTGTTCCGACTTCGTGGACACCGCGGGCCTGTCACGAGTATCCACTTCATCCCTCACCCAACCCTTGGCGCAACTCAGCACGCCGGGTACCTCGTAACTACGTCGCGCGACACTTACCTCAAGCTCTGGGACCTGAGTACCCAGCACTGCGTGCAGACTGTCGTCGTGGGCCGAAGCGAGGTCTGGTCTTGCGCTGTCAAGGATGACTCGGAGGACGCAGAGGAAGGAGAGGGACGATGGCTCATCCTCACCGGCAGCGGGGACGGTGAGGTGCGCGCGTGGACAGTGGACAAGGCGGCGCTGGCCGACGGACTCAAGGAGAAGGAGAATGGCGAGGTGAGCATTCTTTCAACCCTATGGCTGACAGCAGCTTCCCAAGCTTGTGCTTCCGCTCTGCACCGTACCATTGCCCGCATCTACGAACCCGGTTTCACAGCTCGCGTTCCACTCCACGCTCCCCGTAATCCTGGCCCAGACATCGGATCGCACGACGGCAGTCCTGCGGCTCCGGTCAGAAGAGGAGGTTGCGGCGAAGCGCGCACGGAGGAAGAAGCGAGAGCGCGAGAAGAGCAAGAAGAAGGGCGTGGACGCCGAGGAGGAAGAGGCGAACGACGCCCCGATCGCTTGGGAGGATCGCGTGACGACTTGGTGCGTGGTGAAGGCCAACGCCAAGGTCAAGTCGTTCTCACTCGGCGAGGACGGTCCCAAGGCTATGTCTCTCCTCCTGGCGCTCGCGAACAACTCGCTGGAGGCCTTCAGCGTGCCCTCGCCCCAGGGCGCAAAGAAGAGCAAGCTTTCCGACGGGAGCGCACCTGAGCCCGCCAAGGTCTACTCTGTCGAGCTGGCGGGACACCGGCAGGACGTGCGCGCGCTCGCGGTGAGCAGCGACGACCAGATTCTGGCCTCGGCCGCCAACGGCACGCTCAAAGTGTGGAACATGCGCTCGACAGCGTGCCTGCGCACCATGGAGTGTGGCTACGCACTTTGTTGTACGTTTCTGCCACATGACCGCCATGTCGTGGTCGGCACCAAGGCCGGCGAGCTGCTGCTCTACGATGTGGCGGCGGCCGTCCTGCTCCAGCGGTACGAAGCGCACAAGGGCCCCGTGTGGGCCGTGCACGTCCGCCCTGATGGCCGCGGACTCGTCTCCGGTAGCGCCGACAAGGACGTCAAGTTCTGGAACTTCGAAATGCGTGAGGAGGCTGAGGGCGAGCGTGTTGTTAGCCGCCTTGGAGTGGAGACTATCGTAAGCTGAGACTGATGAGAGATCTCTAACAACAGTACAAGAAGAAGGTGGTCACGCTGGTGCACGTCAAAACGCTCAAGATGACGGACGATGTGCTGGCCGTCAAGTACAGCCCCGATGGGAGGTTGCTGGCGATCTCGCTCCTGGACTCGACAGTCAAGATCTTCTTCGCGGACACGCTCAAGTTCTTCCTCTCGCTGTACGGGCATAAGCTTCCCGTGTTGGCACTGGACATCAGCAGCGACTCAAAGCTGATCGTCACGTGCTCGGCGGACAAGAACGTCAAGATCTGGGGCCTGGACTTCGGTGACTGTCACCGCTCGCTGTTTGCGCACGATGACAGCGTCATGTCGGTCGCATTTGAGAAGAACTCGCACTTCTTCTGGAGCGTCGGCAAGGACCGCGTGCTCAAGTACTGGGATGGCGACAAGTTTGAACTTATCCAGAAGCTTGAGGGGCATCAGGGCGAGATCTGGGCGCTGGCTGTGAGCCACCAGGGGGCGTATGTTGTGACGGGCTCGCACGACAAGAGCATCCGCATCTGGGAGAAGACGGACGAGCCGCTGTTCCTTGATGAGGAGCGAGAGCGGGAGCTCGAGGCTGCACACGATGCCGCGCTCGTCGACTCTATGAACCGCCTCGATGCGGAGGACGGGGATGGTGAGGCCGAGGTCGAGGCCGTGCAGAAGCAGACAGCCGAGACGCTCATGGCCGGCGAGCGGATCATGGACGCGATCAACCTCGCGGACCTCGACCGCGAGGCGAGGGAGGAATATGAGGCGGAGAAGCGCCGCCTCGGTGACGCGGGCAACAGCCTCCGACCGCCAGAGAAGCACGCTGAACTTGCGGCGCGCGGCGTCGAGGCTGATGAGCATGTGTACAACACACTCGCGTCCATCCCTGCCGCACATATGGAAGACGCGCTTCTTGTCCTCCCCTTCAAGCAGGTCACATCCCTGCTGACGTACCTTGATGCGTGGGCGGTTGCCGACCGCGACATCATACTCACAGCGCGCCTCCTCCACTTCCTCGTCCGGACCCACCACTCGCAGATTGTCGCGAACCGCGTCATGCGTGCGCGGCTCGTGTCGTTGCGAACACACGTCCGATCTGCGCTCGGCCGGCATCGGCAGCAGATGGGATACAACCTCGCCGCGCTCCGATTCCTGCGCACCCGATGGGAGGGCGAACACACGGCCGGGCTTCTCGAGGAGGAGGGAATGGACGAGGAGGCAGTGCGGAGGCGACTTGAGGAGAGCAGAACGAAGAGGAAGCGCGTGGCGGTTGTGTGATAGACTGGCATGCACTTCTGTTGGGCCAATAAATTCATTCGTTACTGACTCAAGCATACTTCTGATTAATCTACGACCATCTACCACTGTATAAATGGGTGGGTCTACCACCACCGGTCTTCGAACTTGGCCTCCTTGTCGGCAAAGCGGACGTCGGTCGCGAAGCGGATCCGCTCGTCGGGGTCCTCGTTGTTTGCACTGCAGTGTACCATGCAGCAGTGATGGAAGACGACATCGCCGGCGCGGTAATCAGCGATGAGCCAGCGACGGCGCGTCTGCTCCGCGAACGCGCGGCAGTCACGGGTGAGGCCGCCTCCCTGGAGCATCTGGTGTCAACGATTCGCTGCGGAAGGCTACCTCCTCGTCTGCCCGCTGGACTCACGTTGATGTTGAACGCATCAATCTGTTCGTCGTCAGGCAGGTCCTTGTTCCACTGGATGAAGCCATCCTCAATCTCCTCGCCGAGCTTGACGCTGTCCTCCAGATACATGAGCCCGCCGCCGACGGGCGAGATGTCCCCGATCGGCACCCATGCCGTGAGCGCGTCCGGCTCCATCCCACGAAGGTACCTGCCTCGTTAGTCTTGCTCAGCTATAGCGAGCATCCACTCACATCTGATCATAGTGCACGCGTGTCGCGCAGCGGTACGCGTGTGGGATGTTGGTGCGCAGAAGCTGCATGCGGAAGCGGAACGGCTTCTTCCACCCACTTTTGATGCGTGCCGCCATTCCCATGATGAGTGGGTGGTCCGCGAAGTCGCACAGGTACTTCTCATGGTTGGCCTGGGTGCGGTGGTTGAGAAGGAGGTCGTCTGACTCGAGGCGGTGCTCGCGCGCCAGCGAGGGGTCCTGGCGGTCCTGGGGTTAGGACACAGAAGAGGCAAGTCAAAGGAAGGGAGCGAGAGAGAGAGAGCGCAACGGAGAGAGAAACCGAGAGAGGGGGAGGGGGGGCGGGGGATGCTCGTGGCGACTCACAAGACCAGAGTAGATACCCTCGACGGGGTCTGTTCCTTCCTTGAGCACGCCGGTGTGGGCCACGCTCTCGAAGAACTTGCGCCGCACAGCCATAACCTCTTCAACAGGCAAGAGTCCCCGAAGGTGGACTACGCCGTCGCGCTCGTACGCGGCGCGGATGTCCTCAATCGGCGCGTCGGCAGGCATTGAGGGCAGCCAGCCCAGATGGTGCGTCGGGATCTGGGGTCAGCCGTGGCTGGCCCAGATGCGAGTGGGCGGTGGTGCACGTCGATGCACGCCGCACGCGACGCTCACGCCCGCCCGTGGCCACCCACAATGCCCCCTTCATTCCCCTCGATCTGCATGTCCCCCAGGTCCCACTTGCCCTGCATGCGCTCGCCGTCGATGCGCAGCTTGCGCCGCACGGAGTGGACGGGGTCGGGATAGCGCGAGATGTCCGAGATGGTCATGATGTAGTGTCTCGAGAAACGATAGCAGCCGCGTGCGCTATCGTGTGCGCTTACAGATGCCACTGCTAGTCACATGGTTCTGACGCGTAGGCACTCGCCCCCGGCAGCAGTGGCTTCGAAGCCAGAAGAGAAGAGAGTGTCATCTGACCTCGCAGACGATCGGATCGAGATCGGAAGACACCGAGGCTTATCTGCCCCTCACTTTTGCGGGGATGCGGGGTAAATAGGCACGAGGTACCGAGCTCGGTCTATAGCGGAGAGCGATTCGGTCTAGCGTACTAACGCATCGACCAACGGTCTAACACCTCCCTCATGCCTCTTTCCCACATGGCAACTCCGTCCGACCATGACCAGGTTTCGATTCCATGACGAAGAACATGCCACATGCCACACTGTCAGTCTGGGGCATACCTCGACACCATGCCGACAACGCCACACTGCCATCTTGCCTCCAAGACCGCCTCGACGACTATTGATTACTTCCTTACGACAGCCGCAAACGCACTACACTTTTGGTGTGGCGGTCTGCTTCGCTTGATGTGCCTTGCCCGCTTTTCAGTGTCTGAGCGTTCAATTGGTCAATCGGTGGCACCCTGCCGCCTGCCGCGTAACGGCATGCCCGACGATCAAAGCCCAATACCCCAGGTGAATTGCAGCTGCAGATCTGCTTTTTGAGTCAATGACGCATTTCGCACTCAGGTAGAGCGTGCCAAGGGTGAGTATGGATCTCTACCACCCGAGGCATTGGCTGACGGCAAGTGTATTGTGCCTCAATGCCCCACTCGATGTAGTTCGAGCGAGGAGGCGTCGGATTCATACGTTCATACCGAGTGCTCCCAGAAATGATGCATGGGCTTCACTTCAAAGGCGATCTAGGCGCGTGAGGCCGAAGGACTGGCCGGAATTCGCCAACAAAATGCTTCCGTGATTCGTGCATCCGGCGCGCCTAGCTGGGCTTGATCGCCCACAAGGTTTAACCAGATTAGGCATGCGTAGCCCCCGACGGGCTCACCTCGTGCACCACTTCCTCAAAGCTCTTTCCCACTCAGGCCCCAAAGCGCCGAAACCCTAGCAAGAGGCGAGAAGGCGGTACTCGCCATCGCACTCATCCCACTCGCTACCTCGACCTTTCTCTTCGTCCTCCTCTCTCCCTCTTCTTTTTATCTCTACCCACCCGTATCCTCTCCTTATCTGTCCTCCCAGCCCCTCGACCTTTCCTTACTTTCGAAGCGGCACCTCCGCCCTACTCGATCTCCTTCCAGCCACAACCGTGGCCCCTTCCATCGTTCCCTCATTCGCGCCTCCCCCCCCCCCTCCTCCCTTCAGACTCCCCACTTTCTCAGCAACGTTCCTCTCCGTAGTAGGAGCCCCCGACCTCACCGCGACATGCGCGTTTTGTAGCGTTTAGCAACATATACCGATACTCTCCCCTCCCTCTGCGCGACCTACAACACCCCGATTCTCGCCTTCTCTCACCATGATTATTCCACCCGACCCAGAGAAGGACCCACGTCTTTTCCGGGGGAGCACGACGTCGCTCGTCACCGTCCCCGAGGACCAGCTCGTTGATGTCGAAACGCTCGAACACGCCCCCGCTCATCCAGGAAATGCGTATTCTATCAACCCCGCCGCACCTGTCGCATATCCTTACGGCGGGCCCTTCGGCGACGCATTCACCGTGCCCTTCGACCCCGTGCCGCCGTACTCGGCACGCCGGGAGCTAGACCCAGTTGAGCACGCCGCGTACGGCGCACCCCCGCTCGGGCGAACATTTAGCCGCGCATCTCGAGGCTCGACTTCGACCTCGGCCTCAGGGTCATCTACTGAGTCAAACGCCACACCAACACGCCGCCGATTTACTCCACTTCGTAGTGGGTCGCGCACAGTCTCGACCCCCGCTTCGTCGGACACTCTACTTGCTGCACGCGGCACGAAGCTGTGGGAAGGGTCGGCGACCCGCGGACCAGCACGGCGATGGCTCGGCATCCCTATACCTCCCCGCTCTATCATTCCAATCTCGCCCGAGGCCAAGGGGCTCTGGCACAAATATAGGCGCTTGTGGATTGCGATGTTCGTGTGCCTTGCCATCGGAATCGTTCTCGCCGTGGGACTTGCTGCCGGTCTCGTACTATCCAACCAGAAGGGCCCGTCTCATGGTGGAAAAGGCGACGCGTGGAGAAACAACCGCAAGGGCCAGAACACGACGTACCCAACAACACCGGACTTGTCAATCTCCTACCATGAGGACCGTGACGGGCCGTTCCCCGAAGACGGGGAGGCGACCCAGTGCAACCAGTTCACGCCACTCAACCAATCGAGCGCATTGACACAACTCGCAGTCAATTCGCCGCACTTTGCTCACTATATCTCGACGTACTCGTTCCCACTCAGCGCTCACGTCGATGGGATGGCCGCTCTCAGCCACAACCTGTACGTTCTGGCTCGCGGGCTTGCCGCAACCGGCACTGTTGAGATCGTCGGCTCCAATGCGCCATCCGGCGTTATACATGGCGGCGAGGAAGGCGTGGTGAAGATTGACGTTCTCGCGCGCTATCAGGCCGACCAGGAGCTTGCACACGTTGCGCGTGTGTGCCATCTACAGCGCGAAGATGGCTCCTCGGGTGTTGGCATCTTTACGCCAGTCGAAACGGATGGTGGTGCTGAAGGCCCATTCCTGCTGAACCCGATGTACACTCCGGCTTTTCACGTCGTCATTCGCATGCCCCCTAGTCTGCTTGCCACAAAGAACGACACCGTGGGCTATCTACCAGGGCTAAGTCTTGAGCTCGCGCAAATGGGAACGCGCATCGGCAACCTGCAGCAGGTGGCGTTGATCGGCGATCTGCGGATTCACGCGGGCAGCAGAGGTGGTGGTGTCGTTGTCGACTATGCTTCGTGCAAGACTTGCACTATTGTCGGTGCCGAGAATACGGTGCAGGGTACGTTCAATGTCACGGAGAACCTGGCTATCAACTCGACGAGTGGGACGATTCTGGCCAACGTCATCCTCTCGGACCCGGAACGGCCAGGAGACGACAGCGCGACGATCACCAGCATGATCCCGATGCCACACAGCGCGCGTCGCCGCTCCCTGAATCCATTAGCGGAACGGGCTTTTGTCGACAAAATTGTCGAGCCGACATCAGCCAAGTATCCTGGCATGAAGAACCTGGACGCGAGTGAAGACGGCCCGGACCACGTGATCAATACGACATTCTGCACCAACGAGGGCTTCATCTTTGTCGCGTACCTCCACCACCCTCCAAGTACGGCGCTGCGCGCCTGGGTGTCGAGCGAGAGTGGCATGGTCGACGTGTCGATGCACCCGAACTATGTCGGGCCGTTTGCGCTGGAAAACATGTGGGGCGCGATCCGCCTGCCGCCCGTCCAGGTGCCAAAGGTGCCCGACCCGATACACCAGGGTCGCTCGCGCATTGTGATTCAGGGCCCGGTCGACCTCAACTCGACGACGTTTTTCGGCGGCCTGAATGTAACCGACGAGATCACTGCACCGAACTCGGTCACGGGCGCTGCGGCGTGGGCGTGGGTTGAGAAGGGCCACCCAAGTGTCTCCGAGGTGCAGAACGGGTTTGAAGGGCGAGGCTCGGCGCTGGTTGCTGTTGCCACGCTCGGGGACCTGCAAGTGACCTTTGACGGCACCTAGTTGTTGCGGTTCCCCAACTATGATCTCCTCACTCCATTGACCACACCGACCACCCACCCCAATCACCTGAACGACCTACATTCCAAACACTGGTGCATCGGCATCACCACCTCCCCTATTCGGACGACATTCGCCCGGACGACATCCACGAACACTCAGTCACGTTTTTTTTCCCCCCCTTACTCTCTCGCCTGTGATATCTTTTCGCTTTTTGCTCCCAATCCCCATACTCAGCCTCGTTAGCCGATTAGACTTGTGGAATAGTGTATTGGCCGGTCATCGGCTGTGTAATGTCACCAATGTTTTGAGCGTGGTGGTGGGTCGTGGATTGAGGGAAGTTTTGAGGAGCGGTTGATACGTGGGATTTTGGTGGCGGCATGAGAATGAATACTGAGTGGGGGGGGGGGGGGGGCTAAAAGGAGCTGTGACTACCGTGATCATGGCATCCTGTTATGACTGCGCTTATGCTTAGGGCTGTCATGATGCCATTATGCGATTGGCATTGGTGTTGGTGTTGGTGTTGGTGTTGGTGTTGCGGCTGCCACTGCCATTGCCATTCATTGCCAGAGGGCGTGCTGCGAAGTGCTGTGAGAGAGCTGTGAGCGCTGCGGAGCGAGTACTGCGAAATCACTGCGAGTGCTGGCCAGGTAAGTGAAAGGCACATGGATTGCGGTGCAGATTGGGCGGCCAAAGACAACAATGCGGAAAGAGAAAATGAATAAGAGTTGCACGAGTATCGCCGAAGAGAGCATATCCCAACGGAAAGAAAAGGGAAAAGGATAGCGGGCATCGCTTTCTCGACAACCACAAGCTGTAACACGAGCTGTAACACAAGCTGCAGGCTATAATAACTCGAGATCTGAGATCTCGGAGAACCTTCAGCCATGCTGGTCAGTTTGCGAATGTTTCACAATGTGGCGTGGCTTGGCCTTTCAGCTGTCATCTGTCAGCTGTCAGCTGTTAGCTATCATCTGTCATGTATCATCTGTCATCTGTCCGTTACCAGACGACGGATCAGTCAAGAGTATGAGACAGAGAGAGACACGGAGAGCGGAGAGCGCTACGGGAGAAAGTAGGACATGAGACATGTTGAATAACATCCAAACGCCGTCGGATGCCCAGATGCCGGAGTTGGGCTTTTGGCCGGCTGGCCGGCTTGCCAGCTGGGGGCCTATGGGGGGGAGGGGAGGGGCGCAGGCCGCAGCCCCCTCGGCGCTCGGATCGCTAGGAGGATCGGCATCCGTCGCGCAGTCGCGTATCCGTGTCATCCGTGTTTGAGCTGATGCACGAGGAGGACGAGGAGGACGAGGAGGACGAGGCCTGATCGGCGAACGGGTACGCGTCAGTTGGGCAAATATAGGAAACTAGGAAATGGGATTAGGCCAGGACATTGAGGGCGGTGCAAGTTTCCACATTCCACATTTGACCCCAGGCTCTATCTAGGCTCCACCAGGCCTCGCCCGGTTGGCGGAATAGGAATTGCAGTACCATCTCGCACTTGTGCGTATTGCATCCGACATGGTTGGCGTCGGCCGATATGTCTTGAGTGCAGAGGTGGAGCGCGGGGCAGTAGGGCAGTGGAGCCTGGCACAAGGAGAGAAAGCATGACGACACTGGCGGGCAGCGAGTTGTGCCAAGTCACGGGGGATGCCAAAGGTCCAAAGGGATCCAAGGCGCAGACCATGACGCTGGACGGACACGTGCTGTGGCGTCCGGGCGAGGGGAGGGGTGGGAAACGACACGATCCTTCAGTCCTCCAGTCTGCCCCCCCAGAAATTCCGGGTTGCCAAGTGAATTCAAGTTTGCGACAAGTGCGACGGGCGAAAGACGAGCAGAGCAAGCACAGCAAGCTGCAAGCACAGTTCAGGACAGACAGGCACCTCTTCCTGGTAGTGGGGCCCAGTGCAAACAGTTCCTGTCGCCACCGTGTCACACTTCCAGACTCTCTATCCTAATCACACACACATTGCCCAAATACCCTTGGCCCAAAACAGAACCCGATGTCTACTATTGGCTTATGGGCAAACCCCATGGTTCACACGCAGCAGCAGGGAGACTGATGCAATGCATGCATGCAATCCATTCATCGCATCTGCTGCGCAGCAAGTACTATTACTGTGTAAATGCTATGTAGAAACGCAGCTGGGGTATTCTGAGACATCAGACTAGACCTTTGACGGATCGAGGCACACATCTCGGCTGCAGCCCCCTTATACATACGCCTCGTACCTGCCGCGGTGCAAGTACCGCCGCCAACCGGAATACCGCTTTGCCGCTGCGCTGCGCTGGCACGGCTGTACCCGCATATGTCCGTGTTCGGGTTGCCAAGATCAAGGAGAGACAGAGAAACGAGTCAAGAGGCGGCGGCGCCGTGAATGAGTGCGGCGGGCCCTGTCTCAGCCTAATCCATCCGTCATCCCTCTCGTCCTGGCCCACCCCCCCGCCCGCCCTGGGTGTAGTAGCGGTCCAGCTCGATTACCCTTAACAGGTTGCTGTGCATTTCACCCACTCGACTCCTTTCCCCTCGCTCCCCTCGCCCTCCTTGGATCATTGGACCTCTCAAACGCTCATCATCACCATTGCAAGCACACTGTTGCGCGCTCGAACACGTTCATCCTCTCCCTCTCTCCGTCTCTCTCTCTCTCTCTCTCTTCATCTCTTCGTCTGCTGCTTCTTCTTCTTCTTCTACTTTTACTTCTACCACTTCACTGTCATCACTACACCTCCTCTCTACTACTCTCTCCCTCTCCATCCTCCATCCTCCACACCCCAACCCCAACCCATCAACTCTCAACGCACGCGCCTACCTCGGATCCCTCGAGCCTCAACTTGATCTCATCCCACTCCTCCCCACTCTTCAATCCTCAATCCTCCCCGCCCTCCTCCCTCTTCGCCTCCTCCTCATCTTATCCTCTCACATCCTCCTCCTACTTATTATCACTCCTCTCACTCCTCGCCCCATCGCCCACCCCCAAATCAATCTCCCAACCACGTTCATTCACCCTTCCGTGCGCAACCCACCCCCAATTCCTCCCCAACGCGTTCCGCACCCACCTCCAATTCATCACCCTTCCACCCTTCCATCTCTTCCACAACACACCATCTCCCTCTAACACTCTTCGCCCCTCTCTCCTCACCAGCACCACTCTCCCCCCCCCCTCACCTCGTCGCAATCATCACAAACAACTCATCGCGCATGGGGTTACTAGCCCTCCCACCGCCATTTCGGCGGCAACGCCCAGCCGACTATGTTCCACTTCCCCGATCACCCGTCCCCTCCGCAGCCAGCTGGGAAAGCGATGACAGCTTTGAGGCTCAACCACCACCCCGCCGAATCCCTCTAGGCCTCCGCGACCCCGCTCTCCTCCTCCCAGCCCTCGTCTTCTTTGGAGCTCTTACTGGCCTCTTTGTCGCTTTCCCATTCCCAACCACAATTCACGCCTTCCTCCCACTCGCAGGCGCCCTCGCAGCATGGGTCGCAGTCAGTTGGGCAAGACTCGCAGTCGGCGCGCTACGCGCCTGGCGCGCCCCTAAACTTGACGTGCCACGACGCAGATCAGCAACCCACCTCACCGCCCTCTTCGCGTGTACCGCACTCATGGCTTACTGGCTCTCCCTTGGCCTCACGCCCCGCCCATCCGTCCTCCCCACCCTCGCCCCTCCCGAGGACGCCCCTCGCTACTTTATCGCCGCAAACCTATACAACAACGAGCGCCTCATTCCTCGTTGGACCCGTGAGGTTCTTCGCACTGCAAAGCATTGTGAGTATCGACTGTTGGCTCCTCGGGTCGGGATGGGATGTATGAAGAATTCGGGGGGGTAAGGGAAGGGGGGCAGTGCCGAGCGGGCAGAGAGCACGGGCAACTTTGGTCCGGCACCGCCCCCCCCCAACCTTGACCAGAACTCGATCCTCCCGCAACCCCGGTCAACCATCGCGTTGTTCTTCTCGTCCTCGCGATGGCAATGACAGTGGCGGTGGCGACGCTAAACCTGGGCTCGGGCTTGGGCGTGGTCGTCGGTACTTGCGCCGCGTGCAAGGGTGCATGCTGCATGCATGCGCGCGCCCACGCGCATGCCTGCGTGTCAGCTGCCAAGCTCTGGCCTGCCAACACGGACGCAATCAAAGGAATGGCTTGAGCGCTGCATCTTGGCGCCCTCCATTCCCTTGAGGTTCATTCACGACGTTTCTCTGGGTTGTTTTCGTGTTTCACCCTCCCGATGGAACGCAGATACTAACGCTATAGTGGGGCCCGAGCGTACCTTCGTCTCAATCTACGAGTCAAACTCGGTCGATGCCACTCCACAGTTGCTGGCCGAGTTTGGCGACCAACTCACCGCCGCCGGCGTGGCGCATCGCATCGTTTCCGAAGTGACTGAGCGTTGGTGGCCATACAGCACTAGTCCCGAGCGCATCAGTCTACTTGCGACGGCACGGAACCGTGCGCTGGAGCCTCTTCAAAGCCCAGACGAGAACATCCGCCTCCCTGATTACGACTCGTACACCAAAGTCTTGTTCCTCAATGACGTAGTGTTCACTTGGGACGCGGCCATCCGCCTCCTCGGAACGAGCCTCGATGGCGAGGAAGGCGAGGATGCGTACGACCTTGCTTGCGGCATGGACTTCGCCATCTCAGGCTTGTACGACACGTGGGTGGCGCGCGACATTTGTGGAGTGCCACTCCGTATCTTCTGGCCGTACGTCAAGGACGAGCCGTCTATTGAGCGTATTCGCAACAACCGTCCCTTTGAAGTCTCGGCGTGCTGGAACGGCATTGTTGCGTTCCCTGCGCGGCCTTACCTTTACCAGCCGACAGCCGAAGAGCGTGCAGGCCGGTTGCACAAACGCGGATGGAAGATGCTTGACAATGGTTAGTAGCGTTTGTTGAGGAGCGAGGGGTCGGGGATATATAGCCTCGCTTCGACCTCGGAGGTGCCGTCTTTCGCATGGCATGGGCCGAAGCGTGCGGACATGTTTATTGGCGGCGACCGGCGACCGGCGCCCGGGGCCCGGCGGGCCCCGCAATGCCCGCGAGTATCAGACGCTGACAGCAGCGACCTACCCCAACAGCCGCATGTCGCCAGCGCTCACATTACCACTCAAGTTCCGCGAGTCGGGGATTGATGCTTGCGACCACTCCGAGTGCTTCTTGTTCTCGTACGATTTGCACCGCCTGTATCCCTCGCGTGAAAGGCCACCTCGCATCATCATGAACCCGGACGTCCGTGTTGCGTACGCGACTCACTGGTGGAAGTGGCACAACGGCGTGCTGCGCATCCCCGTTGTCGAGTGGTGGCTCTGTGAGTAGTATTGAGGTGGCGAGCACAGCTTTCAGCTGGACAGCAGGCAGAGACGGCGCTAACGCTCCCAGACCACTGGAGCCACGGTGTCCCAAATTACGCGATCGACTGGCTTGTCGAGTGGTTGTCCCGCCGACGAGACTACTGCACGTGGGGCGCACTGTCGCCACACTTGCCTGCGCGGTGTCCACGACTGCCTGGACCGAGGAATCTGTCGTGGAACGAGTAGTGTAGAAGAAGCCAGTCGCGGGCGACCGGCCCGACAACTGCGGGGAGTAGAAGTAGAGGCGTGCGCGTGAGGGCGTTCAACAGGGATATGTGGTAGTTTTTTTTTGGGGACGAGGTGTAGATGATGATGCTGTGTCATGTGCAGATAGTTAGAAATGTACAATCAGTAGTGGTTCTATAATATAGCGGAGAGATGAGCGCCGAGTCAGTCCAAGTCGAGTGGGATCAGTGGGAAAAGTGGAGCGATGTGAGGGGCGACGTGGGCTGTATGGGCATTTGCAGAGAGAGAGCCCAGAGCGAGAAGGATGAGAGGAGATTAGAGACGGACGTGTTGCCGATGGCCGATGGCTGAGAGCGGATGCAAATATCTGATTGGTGGCCCCGAGCCGTGCGTCCATCTCGCCCCTGAGGCAAGGCCGGTGCCCGTCATGCCACAAGGTGCATCTCCAGTCGACGACACCTTCCTCGGTACGTCGGCACATGGCTCCATCACGGCTGTTTCACCATCTCGCGCCTCGCATTATCAATCCGTCCTCCATCTAGATCTCCACACTCGCAACTGAATCTCTCTCCACCGTCGACGCCGGCGCCCATCATCTCCTCCTCTCGGCGACAGAGAGCGAGCGACCTGAACGAGTGAAAGAGCCGACCTCTTTCGCACCCATACCCTTCCCCTCACCACTCGCCCTCGCCCTCATCCTCCTCCACCTCCTCACCCCTCACCCCCAACCCTCATCTCCAGCGATACACGATGGCTCCACGCCAGGACTATGACAAGATCGTCAAGCTCGCGTGCAAGCCCAAGAATGCCCCGCCCAAGGCCAAGTACTTGGAGTGAGTACTCGGAGAGGGCGTCGGAGGTGAAGCGAGCTGGGCGAATCTGCGCATGGGATGGGCGTGCGTGGCACAAATAGCGAGTGCGTCGTCGGACGGCTTTCGGTGGTAGGAGGGCAGTGTTAATGCCCTCGGCTCACTGGACACTGCCCAGCCCCATGCACTGAAGCAACGCCGCCTGCCGTCCTCAGGCCCATCACCACCCCTCCCCATGTCTTCCATCACAGCCGTGCACGCACAGCTGACCCCAGCGCACTCATTGCCGCAACATTCGACGATAATGCCTTGAACGACATTACGCGCGCGTTGTCGCAACGCTTGCGCGACTCCAACCCAGTGGTGCGTGCTGCCTCGCACCCCGCCGGCCCGAGCTGCTTCTCCTCCCCCTGCTAACCCTAGGTCGTCTTCAAGGCGCTCATCACGCTGCACCAGATGATGCGCTCGGGCGCGAGCGAGCAGCTTCTCGGTCACCTCGCGCGGTCCGATACTCTGCGGCTCCGCAACGTCCAGGGCATGAATGACGGAGCGGGTAAGTTGACCTGGTCCGAGTGGATTGAGGCAGAGAAGCGCCCCACCCTGCCCCCAGAGTGGTCGCCGGCCGCGGCAGTGGCGGCCGGCACGATCGCCGGTGCAGGAACCCGCCGCACAACATCTGTCTCGCTCAAGTCTAGAGAGCAGTCCCAGCCTCAGGAGTGGAGTGGGGCGTGGTCCATGACGCCATGCTGACTCAACAGGCTACCATCCTCCCAGCAACCTCAGCGCATATGCGTATTATCTGGACAGCCGGATTCGCGCGTTCCGCGATTTGCGTCACGACCTCGTTTATCTTCAGACCGAGAGCAATCGTCGGAGCACGGGTTTGGGCGCGAACGGTGAGTCGCACGCACGTCGAGGTGGGCGACTCGCTGACGTCTAGCCAAGGCACGACGGCTGCGCCACCTCCCCGTCGACAAGGGCTTGTTGCGCGAGGTCAAGCAGGTGCAGCGCATCCTGGACGCACTGATCCGATGCACCGTGAGTTGACCGGTTTAGACGGGCAGTGAGCCTAACATCAGTTCTACGATGATGACCTGCGCGACGAGAATACCGTTCTCGCCTTCCGCATGCTCATCAAGGATTTACTAGTGCTATTCCAAGCAGGCAACGAGGGCGTGTGCAACATTCTCGAGCACTATTTTGAAATGTCCAAGGTGGACGCGACCGACTCGTTTGACATCTACAAGTCGTTCATCAAGCAGACGGATAAGATTGTTGACTACCTTGCGATTGCGCGGAGGCTGAACAACATTGTCAATGTCCCAGTACCGAACTTGAAACACGCACCAACATCGCTCGTTAAGGCGCTTGAAGAGTACCTCAACGACCCGAACTTTGAGCAAAACCGAATGGAGTACAAGAAAAGCCTGGGAGTCGTGGAGGGGCGTGCAGGAGATAAGTCGTCCGCAGCGACTGCCAAGAAGGAAGAGAAGAAGGACGAGAAGGCCGCCGAGAGCAGTAAGGCGGCGTCGACAGCCGCCCCACCACCGCCCGTCGCGAATGCGCAAGCCAAGATTCAAGACTTCCTGGACTCGATTGAGAGCGACCAGGCCAATGGCCAGTCCTCGCTGGCGGGAAGCAGCTCGATGAACTCGCTGAACGCGGGCGGCAGCATGGGGATGAACCAGTTCGGCCAGATGCCCATGGGTCAAATGGGGCCAATGGGTTCGATGTCGACGATCGGGTCTATGGGTGGGATAGGCATGGGCGGTATGGGAGGCATGGGCGGCCAGATGCCCATGCAGATGCAAATGACGGGCATGGTCAACCCATTCCGCCAGAGCACCATGTTCCCCCAGCAGACTGGCTTTATGGTGCCACAGATGACGGGCTTCCCCAACTCGCAGGGTTTCATGCAGCAGCCACAACAGCAGCAAAGCGGCTTCCTTCAGCCTCAATCGACCGGTTTCCTCCAGCCCTCACACACTGGCGGCGGGTCCGCCATCTTCCAGCAGCACACGCCTCAGCGGCAGTCGACGTTCCCGCTCGCGTCCAACTCGCAACCGTTTGGCCAGATGAGCGGCGACGGCAAACAGTCGTCGCTGCTCGCACAACCAAACCAGAACAACCCCTTCCCCTCCTCCCTCCAGCCCCAACCGACTGGCTTCCTGCAACCACAAGCGACAGGCTCCAACCCGTTCCGGCAGTCACTCATGCCACAGTCAACGGGCATGATGGGCATGGGCGGCATGGGTGGTATGAGCGGTATGAACGGTATGGGGATGAGCAACACCGGCGGCGGCATGGGCGGTCTCGGATCAGGCGGCATGTCGGGTGCGTTCACGCAGCCGTCCTCGCCGTTTGGCCAGCCCCACTCGACGGTAGACAACCGGCCGGGCTCAACACCCAACATCATGAGTGGCGGCGCGAGGACAGACTCGCCCAAACCTCTCACAGCGCAGAAGACGGGCTCAAACAACCCCTTCGCGCCGCCTGGCGGCATCCCACAGCCGCCGCCGCCCATGCCCCACCAGCCGAGCATGAACGAGATTGCTCAGCAGCGCTTCCAGGCCCAGTTTGCGGCCGCAGGCGGCCTCAACCCGCAGCAACAGGCCGGTCAGCAGCAGTTCCAACAACAGCAGCAGCAGCAGCAGCAGCAGCAGCAGAAGGACCCGTGGGACTTCGACCCCCTTTCCTCTTCCTCTTCAGCGCCAACAAAGTCGGGCTCGGCAATGGGCGACATCGCAAGCGCCTTTGCGCTGGACAAGCAGCCACAGGGTGACTTCTTCTCCCAGTTCAACTCACTCTCTGTCAGCGACTCGAATCCGTCCTCGAACACCTCTGGCGGCTTCCTCCAGCCCCAGCGCACCGGCGTGGGCGGCAGCTCTGTGAAGCCGTTCAAGCCCACCTCGAGTTTTGGCGCGCAGCTCGAGCAAAGCCTCCCACCCATTCCGGAGCCTGGAGGGAGCGCGAGCGCGAACGGTATCAGCTCACAGGCCACAGGCTTCCCCTTCGGCTCGGGCTCTGGTACGGGCGTGGCATCACCAGGTGCCTCGGGCCAGGGGGCCCAGTCGCCTTTTTCAGGCGGGCCTGCGCAGTCGCCCGGTTTCGGCATCGGACAACAGGGCCTTGCGCAGTCGCCCACCGGTCTCAGCGCCCAGTCGACCGGCTTCCCCTTCGGGATCACCGCACAGCCGACAGGCTTCCAGCCGACAAGCAGCTTCGGGCAGCAGCTAGCGGCGCAACACACACAAGGCCAGAACCAGGTGCAGGGCGCGCAGCTGCAGCGCCAGAACACGGGCAGCAACCCGTTCCGCGGGGCGGGCGGAATGCCCGGCGCTGGCATTGCAGCCAGTGGCCCGTTTGGTGCTGGCTCGCCGTTCGCAGGGCAGAACATGTTTGGCGGGCAGCAGCAACAGCAACAGCAGGCAAGCCTGTTTTGAGCAGGCTGGGTGGGCGCTCTCGACGAATAGACCTAGATCTTGATTTCGGTATACATGCTAGTATTTATGGTATGGTTTCCGCGGGGATGTTGGCAGTGCCATGGAGTGGGGACTAAATCACCTTCTGAAGACGCAATGAGAAGCAAGAATGGCCAAGAGCGTCCGTCCGTCCGCCTGTCCGCCAGATCCGCTTCCAACCTACTCCTGATGCAGCTTCTCCGGGATCGGCTCACGGATGATGGGTACTCTCTGCGCCTGGTCCTCGAGCGCTGCGACAGCGTCGAGCCGTCTAACGGTGGGCCCGGGAGATCTGACAGGCGTGGGCGAGAGAGGGGGTGCGTCGTCGCTGCTCTCGGATCTAGAGTGGGAGAAGACGGGCGCGTGCTCGTCGGCAGGAGACATTGGCGATGCGCGTGGCCGGCGCGGAGCGCCGCGCACTTTGAACTCGATGACGGGCGCCGACTGGCCGGGGATCGAGAGGTTGACGATGACGGCGGCGAGGAGGCCGAGGCCTGATGTGAGCAACAATGCGGCTGAAAGAGGTGCACGGGGAACTCACCCAGCCCAGCCAACTTCTCCTTGAGGTTGTGGAAGTAGAGCGCGGTCATAAGCAGCATCCACACCCAGAGGCCAATGAGAGCGCTGCCCGCGACCGTCGAGAACGCATGTACCAGTCCCCGCGGCCCACGTACAGGCGCCTTCTGCCCGCGGCGCTCGGCGAGTGCCGCGCGCCAGCTCGGCGCGACCTCTGCCGCGAGCACGATCGCGCCGAGGGTGAGAAGGAAGGCGTGGCCCGAGATGTCGAAGCCACCGCTCCACCGCGGTCTCTGGAGCGGGCCGTCGAGCAGCGCGAAGAGGCGCGGGTGGGTGTGCGGCGCAAGCGGCGTGGTGCCGCAGAACTCGTCATGCAGGGGCAGGTAGACGTGCTCGGGGGCTTGGTCGGGCGCGTGGAGGATCATGGTCGTGTGTCCGTCGGGGAGGAGGTGTTCGAGGGCGCCGACGTCGATACCCTTTGGAAGGGGAATGGCACAGGTGCCGCCGGACATGGCGATGATCCGGTCGCCGAGACCCGCGCCAAAGCACCATGCCGTGAAGAGGATCCACGCGAGCGAGGCGAGGACAAGGGCTGCGAGGCGCTGGCCTCGCGACCGCCGCGGCGCCGTGTGCAGTGAGTGCAGTGCGGGGTTGACTCTGCCGACTGAGGCGGCGGCGGAGGGGACCTTTGGCGCGCCAGGAGACGTGGAGAGGTGCAGGAGGTAGATGCCCGCTGTCCAAGCCCACGCGCGCTTGACGAAGAGGACGTTGATCGCATTCGACTTGCGCGCAAAATAGGCTGCGCGGAGCGGCGCGTGGTTGTGAACGTGGTGCAGCTCAGAGGTAGGGACTGCGGTATCGCACGCAACGGCGATGGCGCAACCCAGACTGGAGTCAGCGTGTACTACTCACGATCGGCGCGAAAGCCTCGGAGGACGAGATGAAGGAGGTGAGAGTCGGGCAAAGCGCGATGTCATTCCAACATGGTCTCCCTCGCCCCGATGATGCCACACCGAAATCCACAGTCAGTCACCACACTTACAGGAACACTCCCGCGCACACCGCCCCTACTACGAGCTGCGGACGCTCCAACGCTTTCTCCAGTACTCCAGGCGGGGCTCGGCGCGCCCCGCTGCTTAGCCGACGCGGCCGACGGGCCGCGAGATCTGCGGCTGTCGAATCAGCGACAGAGGAAGATCGGCGGCGGTGCCGGATTTGGAAGGTTGGGTGTTTGTCCACGGGCGCCATGAGGGCGAGGCGAGAGGAGGGGCGGTAAAGAGGCTGAGGTGAGGTGCAAAGGTGAGGTGAGAAGAAGACCAGCTGAAAGGTTGAGGGGTGCGCGAGGATGATTCAAAGGAGGAGGCTGAGGAGTACAACTACGATGGAAAGAGGGCGTTGAGGAACGAAGATGGTGCTGAACGCGCGTGCTGAACGGGGCGGGCTCGGGACGGGCGCGGAGTGAATATGAGGCGGGCGTTGGGCCGAGACGGCAGGGGAGTGATCGGGGTCTTGTCGCGGCTAGTGATGGGCGTGGTCTGCTTGTCTCGTCGTGTCGTGTGCGCTGCGATCGCAAAGTAGTAGTGCGAGTGAGCAGAGCGCGAGGTGGTGTGAGCGCAAATGGTCTGGTCGGTCAAGAAAGAGCAATAGGAGAGGCCAAGATGGGATGAGGTGTGGACACGGCGCTCATATAGCCGCCCGAGTGATCGCCCGACGTCATCGTCATGATCCCTGGGCCGATCCACCATCGGCGCCAGCGCGACACCCGTGACGTCCGCGATACCCACCCGCCCGCTTCACCACACGTCCAATCGCACGCATTCATCTTCCTACAACTCCTCGACTCTAGTAGCCCCACGCGGCCTCTTATGTGGTATGATATGATACCCCACCTACAGCCTACGACGCACTGCCGAAGACCGAGAAACGGCGCACGAGGCTAGGGCCGTACTCTTCGTAGTCGGCGCGCGAGTGCGACACATTGTAGAATTCAGGAAGAGACGCCATAAGACTGCCACCGTACCACACCGCATAGCGCTGGCGCTTGTGCGAGATCACATTCACCTCGACGCCTGACGAGCGCATCAGGTTGCCCGAGCGGTCCTCGGAGAGGGAGATGCGGGAGTCCACAATTGTCTTGAGATCCTTCTGCAGACGCCGGCCAAAGTCCTTGTACATTGTCGAACCGCCAGAGAGAACAATGTTCTTGTACAGTCCGCGGCGGACGTCGATAGGCGACGTCTGAATCACGGTGTCGACCACCTCGGGAAGGGGCGTGAGGAAGTCGGACGAGTAAATCTCGGGATTGAAGAAGATCTCGGGGGCCAGGAAGCGCTCATAGCCGACGTCAAGCTCGTATTTCTGGAGTTAGCCATAGAAATGATGCGGCACAAGGCGCCATGAGCGGGACCGCTTCTCCACTGGAAAGTGGACCTGAGAGCTGGCATATAATCTGTCACCTGCCACCTGCGGCCTGCCGCCTCTCCATCCGCTGGCCTCGACCTCTGCTGCACTCACCCTTCCAGTCACAGAGTGTTCGCCAGAAAACCGCGCGAAATACTTGTATGGGTCGGCGTCGTACTTTCTGAACTCCTTCACAATGTCCTGGCACACGTAGGTGTAATCCTCCTTGATCTTCTCGGCCACACGGAGCTGGTCCTCTGGAGGGATCTGTGCCGACTCTCCACGGTCACGGAGGAGCTGCTGGACGAAGGAGGTGATGTCGCGACCAGCAATGGGGACGTGCTTGATCGACGAGCCGATGACATAGCCTTCAGCCACGGGGATAGTGTCTGGGGTCAGCGAGGGCGCGGTGACGCAAAGGGGGACGGGCAGCTGGCCAGGTGCGCCGGCTGAGCCAGACGACGCGTAGAGGTCGGCTGTGTCTGTGGCTGCCTGTCCGCCTCATTCCTGCCCGCTAGCCTCACTCACGGGTAACACCATCTCCCGAGTCGATGACCACACCGGTCAGCGTGCGCTCGGTAACTTTGGAGCTCGTCCACGACGCTGCGAGCGCCAATACAGCCTGTACCGCAATGTAAAGACCTGCGACATTGAACGACTCGAACATGATCTCGGCAGTGTTCTCGCGGTTCTCGGGCGGATTGAGCGGTGGCTCGGTGAGCAGCACATAGTGGTCCTCGGGTTCAGCGCGGAGGTATTTGAAGATGCTCTGCTCCCAGAATCGCTCCATCTGGTCCCAGTTGTTGATCATGCCGTGACGAATGGGGTAGTGAAGCGAGTAGGTCCTGGGGTCAGCCCGGTGCACAGCAATGCTGACGGTTATTCGCGGGTGCAGGAGGTCTGAGCTCATGAACTCCGCCGCTCTAAGACGGTGAGAGCTGTGAAGGCTATGAGAGCCGTTATTCCGCAGCAAACCCGTCCTTCCTTTTGCAAAGCCCTCACTAAAGCTCGGCTGGTCCCACACTCCTACTCACTTCGAGTTGGCCACAGCTTCGTCGCCGATGAAGAAGTCAAGGTCCTCGATGCCGCGCTTGCTCGCGAGATGACCGGGCTTAGCCGCGACTGGCGGAGCAGGGCGACGCCCCGTCGAGCTACTCGAGGTAGAAGCAGCGTCCTTAGTCGCGATTACGGTCGGGAACACGAACGAGGGCTCCGAGTTACCGGCGAAGCTGGTGTCAGTTGGCCTGCGAGTCCGACTGCAGCTGGAAGCTGAGTGTTGCTGTCCGAGGCAGCACCCAGTGCAGCTCTGCACGCAGGATACAACCTACCCCATCTTGGTGTAACCCGTGCCATTGTCGATGACGAGCGGGGGAAGGCGGGACATGGTGGATGATGTGGAAGATGGTTTGGCGAGGAGGACTGCGGTGATGATGACGACGACAGCATGAGCATTCAGGCGACCATATTTGATCCCGCTAATAGTATCATATCATTGCACTGCCTGCGCCCAATAGGTATTGCGAATTATCCGTAGTCGCGCTGGTGCGCGTTCGAATCCCGACGAGAGATCATCGAAAGGTTACGAAGCACGAAGCACATCATTAATTGAGACCTGATGAGTCAACATGTGAGACGCCACCTACTATTGATATTGGCTTCCTATAATCGATGGCCCGATCTGAACGCTTTGACCTGTACACCGAAAGGTGTTAATAATTGGGCTGTTCAGCCCTAATAGCAGTTCTACTTGAGCTAGATCTTCTCCCGGTGGGGGCCATCACACTCCCCGGTTCTGCCTTTCGTACGGCGCAGCGCCTGACAGTTCCGATCAACTCCTCGCTCTGCCCACTCCCTCCCTACGTACGAGTGTGATCGATACGAGGCGTGTGCTGTAGCACCCGTGATATGGGTGGGACTCGCTCGGGGTGTGTAGGGATCGCAGAGGTAACTCAAGCAATGTGTGTGTGCAACTCGGAGGCTCTTCCTTGCGAGGAAGAGCTCTATCTGCAGTAAATGTGTTGTGTGACGATGGATCCATCTTGTCGGCTTCATTTCATCGACGTGTATCTCCCCCGACTGGGTGTAGTCGCTCGCCACAACAGCAGCCACAATGCGTGGTTCGAGAACGTCAGCCTTTGATTATATCTAAGGGCGAGCGACGGGTGCGCACTGCAACGGGGGTTGCAGGAGCAGCCAGCCGACAAAGGTGGTGGAGCGAGAGTGTATCGCATGTCAGCACGGTCATAGATCTCGCTGAGGGTGCACCTTGAGCAATGGGCACCTCATGCCAGCGAGTCGGGCCTGCTGCTGCAGACTGGTTGGCGACAGAGACATGACGTCGCGCACTGAGGGGGGGGGGGGGGGGGGGGGGGAACTGTAAGGGGGGGGGGGGGGGGGGGGGGGGGGGGGGGGGGGGGCAGGATTGGCGCCTCGTCAGACGCGAGACCACGCTTGGATGGCCGCCTGGGGTGAGCGGTGGCACGGGGCGAGAGAGAGGAGAGCATGAGGATAGGTACCTCGCCTACAACTGCTTCGAGGCTTGTCCATGCGCTTCGCATGTTGACGAGCGCAACTGTCTGTTCGGGGGCTGGAAGGCCAAGGAAGGCCTCAAAGTTGAGGTCGCTGCAGTGGAAAAAGTGTGTGCTGGTGCGCCGGTGCGCCCTGATTAGCTGATTGTAGCCACGCATTCTTCTCCGACAATCGGAGGCGTGAGTGTCGCAGAAGACGGCGCGCGCGCTCCACTTGAGCACGTAAGTCGTGACAGGGTCAGTGCATGTGCGTGTACGCGGGAGCGATTGCTGTGGCGGGGGCGGGGGGCGAGGTGACGGCGGGTTGCCAGTCTGCACCTGCATCCGTCAAGACGACTCGAGTACGTCCTTTCAGGTGATGGGCGGCGGGGGGCGGAGGGGGACATGGCCGGCGTCTGGCATGGTATTTATTGATGTCTCTCTTCCTCTACACTCACACCTCGATCATCATCTAACAAACATATACCCATCCATCCATCAACACCCTCAAACTCGCCCCTTCATTAACCTCAACATTAGCAGTACGCTCCCAGGCCCCCGGCCGCCCATCGACGACCGGCTCGACTACGGCGGCGAATGGTTCGATCCTTACGTGCCGCCGTGCTTTCCGCGCACGCAGTGGCTTCCACGGACGGACATCGGCCCGCCGCACAAGCCCGGCGTGCACGATTGGTGCATCGTGCAGGGCGCCGCCCTACATGTACGAAGGATGCTCATTGTTGATAGCTGTTGTTTGTTTGTGTGTACCATTTGACTCGGATGCTCGAGTAACGTTGTGGGAGTCCGTTGTTGCGACAATTCGGCGCTGAATGCGGGACGACGTAGCACACCAAGCCGGATGTACCAGACACAGCATCTCGTGATCTCTTGGCTGGTCACTGGCACATGGGGCACAAGGGCCATGCCAAGGGCCAGGAATCGGGGCAAGGGAGGGCCCGAAATCTTATCTTGGTCGAGTTCAGAGTCCGCCGCTCCGCTGTCTCCGCTGGCTGTGGTGTATGGTGGGCATGCAAGGCGGCCACGGCGCGGTGGGGCTGAGGCTTGGAGATCGGAAAGCGGACTGGGCGGGATGCCGTACGCGTCGCACGCGCACGCTGCCTATCTTGTGCCTGGAAGTATAAGTAGTTGTGATCGGCGAAGGGTATGGATCTCATGGATCATGGATCATGGAGGATGGCGGAGGTGGGGGAGGTGGCGGAGGTTGGAAAGTGAGGTGGGAGGGCCCGAGCAGACACCAAGACTCTGGGCATTCCCGATCATGCGACGATGTCCGGAAGTGCACACCACCTCGTAGCATTCAGCAAAGACACGACGACGCGCGCCAAGTCTCAAGTAACTGTGAGATCAGACTCAAACGGCCGAGGACATGTCCTGCGCCCAGGACGAGTTCCAGGGAATGTGCACGCCACCGACCCGACTGGCCCAACTCTCCGTTTCCACTCTCACGTTCTAGTAAAGCATGAAGCAAGCATCCCGCATGGCCGCATGCTCATTTTCCACCATCTCCCTCTCTGATCTCTGATCAATTCTACATTACATGGCTCCGGCGGGCCGGCGATCCCAATTCAACATCCCGTCAGCCATGACCCGCTGGTCGCCAGCCGCAAGTGGTTCGGCGTCAACGCCACAGACGCTCGGGCCTCTTTATACCGGGCCAAGTTGGGTTGAAGCGGGCCTTCAGAGTTGCACAATCGTACAATCGCAAAGTTCCAAAGCTCCAAACCCAACCGCACGCCCTTTATCAAGTTTGGCATGTGCATCATCGGCCACATCGGCATGGTCATATGGTCATGGGCCAGACAAAGTCTAGAGTGAGAGAGAGAGAGAGGTGTACAGGGCGACAACTGGGGCGAGATGGGAGGATGGGTGGGAGTTGAGGGAGCTGGGCATCCCGCGTTGCACATGATATGATGCACATGAGGAATGGTCGATCAAACCCTTCAATTCACTCTCCTCGTTATGATTTCGAAATTTCTAATCTCTGCTGTACAGTTTCCGCACACACACCACACACCACACACATCCACGCGTATTCTCGCTTACACGCTTTGTTTGCATGCCTCGACGCGCGATCGCTCCCCCCTCACGCACCTAAATAGTTCTTGTATCTCCGAGGCAGTCAAAGATCTTGATGCACGACGCGCTCTGAGCGCAAAGGTCGCGGTGCCGCGTGCCGCGTGCCGCGTGCCGAAACCCTGGTGCCATCCCCTTGGGTGGCATGGGTGGGCGGCTGAGAGGCCCTTAATTTGGTGTCGCGGGTGAGGAGGGAACCCTTGGAACCCTTGGAGCCCTTGGAACCCTTGGACTGGAGGCCTACAGTTGAAACCTCTGACCCAAAGGCCACGTTCATCCTCCACTCTGCACCACTCTCTCTCCTCAATCTTCTCTCAATCCTCAATCCTCGTCGTCCTCTCCTCATCTCGTCGATACAATCTCTCACTCTCCCTCCTCCTCTTCTTCTTCTCCATCTGACTTGCTCTCTCTCTCTCTCTCTCGTCCACTCCTCCTCCTCCTCCTCCTCCTCCTCCTCCTCCATCTCGACCTCCCTCGACCTCCCCCCCCTCTCAGTGCACCTCGCTATCGCTCAATTCACGTCCACACACATTACACACGCTCTCTTGACGCCTTTTCCTCCGCTTGACGCATTCTCCATCCGCATCACCCACGCCCACACCCACTCTCCTCCCACCCCCCGATCACTCATTCCTCTCCCCCATCACACTCTTCCACATCTCGACTCGCCTTGACGCCTTAACCTTCCACATCTAAATTCGAAACTTCGGTCAACAGCCAAAGAGCTGCTCATGTCCATCTCCCCCTCCCAACCTCCTTTCATCCCCGCATAACCTTCTTCACCTCTCACACATTTTCTACACCTACCGACCTCACATCTCTCATCCGCACTTCATCGACGGCAACGGCATGAAACGCTACGACGACGGGCCGCTGCCTTACTCTCAGGGTGGCCCCATGCCGACGCGTCGCCCTACCATCCGTGTCACAGGAGGCAACTCCTCAGGCGGTGGTGGTGGTGGCATGGGCATGGGCGGCGGCGGAGGCACCATTGGCCGAGGCGGCGGCGGCACCGTCAAGCGCTCCAAGACGCTCACGAGGCCCGAGCGACACGTTGCGCCCGAGCCCCTCATCAACCCAACAGGACAGGAAGACTCTGCCGCTCATGCGTCCGGGTCCAAACTCGACTGGTGGACCGTCACGTCCTTGATCGTCACCTTTTGGGCGCCTTCCCCCTTGCTCAAGATGATGGGTATCACCGAGGCAAACTCGAGGCAAGCATGGCGAGAGAAGATTACGCTATGCTTCATCGCCATTGTTATGGGAGGTATCGTCGGTTTCGCGACCATGGGCTTGCAGAGCGCATTGTGTCCAGGCGGCAGCAATGGCGCTGGCTACCAACTTTTAGGCTCCCGTGACTGTGAGTACGCTCGTCTCTGCAGAAGTCTCAGGCGCTTCGCTTCACAAGGCAAGCGATGCCAGCGATGCGATGCCAGCGATGCGATGCCAGCAATGCGATGCCAGCAATGCATTGGGGCCGGCATATGCCATCCCTGGTCTGGGCCCTGTAGCTCGGTCTTGGCCCACGACTACGCCGGCCGCAACTGACGTGACGCACCTGCTGGAAACTGGAAACACGCGCGCTGACTCCTAGCTACACTGTCCATCGCTGGCTGGGCCTTCAACATTAACGAGTCCAAACCCTTTGGCAATGTCAACTTCTACGAACTTTCAAACCAAATGAGGGGACAGGACATTACCCCCTTCTTCACCCGTTCTGCAGCCGACTACCCAGACTGCACCGCAACCAATTTTAGATACGCCGCGCCCGACATCTGCAACGCGAAAGCCAAGGAGGCTAACGAATGTCTGCTCGGTCAGCTCAATGCCAACTCGCTTAACCAGTATGCGCTCAGGAACGAGTCGCAGTACGAAGGCTATTCCTGGGCACAGGTCGTCAACAGCACAAATTACATCGTCATTGATGGTTGGGTGCTCAACATGAACCCCTACATGCGCGCCAACCCACAGCCCATCCCGGGCGACCCCATTGATGGCATCATTCGCCGCGCCATTGACGTCCAGTCATCGTCGGGCAAGGACGTGACAAAGCAGTTCTACAACAACCCAGACACCCGGGCTGCGATCAAGTGCCTGACGACGCGCTACCTCGCTGGCAAAATCGACAAGACAACTCCGGGATGTTTCGTTGCTGCGCTTTTCCTCTACGCGTCGCTCATCGTCATTCTTGGCGTCGTGTTGGTCCGCTTCTTCATGGCCATCATCTTCTCCTGGTTCATCTCACACAGACTCATCGAGAAGAAGACGCTCTCGCGCGGGACCGGTATCGCCCCCACTGTCATGCCCGAGGGCGCCAACGTCTCGGTGCACAACCAGACTGGTACGGCTCCGTGGGCTCAGCCCGGCCGCAAGGGACAGGCTCCCGTCGCCGCTCCGGCTCCAGTCATGAGTCTAGATCGCATCGGCGCCGAATTGTTCTGCGTGTGCCTGGTGACGTGTTACTCGGAAGGCGAGGAAGGTATCCGCAACACTCTCGACTCGATCGCCGGTACCAGCTACCCGGACCAGCGCAAGCTTCTCTGGGTGGTGTGCGACGGCATGATCACGGGTGCCGGGGAGAAGCAGAGCACGCCCGACATCTGCGTGGGGATGCTCGAGGCCGACCCTCGGTTCGGCAATCCGCAGCCCATGGGCTACATTGCCGTTGGATCTGGTGCCAAGCGCGAGAACCGTGCGATGGTCTATGCTGGGCACTATGGTGAGTGTGCTTTGAGCGAGGGGCGCTAATGTCAGTCACCAAGAGCGGCCACCGCGCCCCTACCGTCATTGTTGTCAAGTGTGGCATGCCATCAGAGGCCAATGACAAGAAGCCGGGGAACCGCGGCAAGCGCGACTCACAGCTTATTCTCATGAACTTCTTCTCGCGCGTTACCTACAACGACCGGATGACGCCGCTCGACTACGACCTCTTCCGCAAGGTGCAGACCTTGATGGGCGTCACCCCTGACTTCTTCGAGGTGTGCCTCATGGTTGACGCCGACACAAAGGTCTTCCCCGACTCGCTCGCCTACCTCGTCAACGCTATGGCCAACGATAACATGGTCATGGGCGTGTGCGGAGAGACACGAATCGCCAACAAACGACAGTCCTGGGTCACGGCTATTCAAGTGTGGGAGTACTACATTTCGCATCACCAGATGAAGGCGTTCGAATCGGTCTTCGGAGGCGTCACCTGTCTTCCAGGCTGCTTCTCGATGTACCGCATCAAGGCCCGCAAGGACGCCGAAAATGACTGGGTTCCGATCCTCGTCAAGCCCGAAATCGTGCGCGAGTACAGCCAGTCGGACGTTGTGACGCTGCACCAGAAGAATCTGCTTCTCTTGGGTGAGGACCGATTCCTGTCCACCATTCTCCTTCGCACCTTCCCCAATCGCCGCAACATCTTCCTTCCCCAGGCTCGGTGCCGAACCATTGCGCCCGACACGTTCAGCGTCCTCCTCTCGCAGCGCCGCCGATGGATCAACTCGACTATCCACAACCTCATGGAGCTGGTCCTCGTACGTGACCTCTGCGGCACGTTCTGCTTCTCCATGCAGTTCGTCGTCTTCATGGACTTGGTCGGTACCATCGTCTTGCCGATCGCGATCTGCCTTACCTTCGCTCTCGTCGTCAACTCGATTCTCAAGCCGCCCCAAAAGTTCGAGGAGGCGATTCCTCTAATGCTTCTGGCGTGTATTCTTGGTCTTCCGGCGTTCCTCATTCTCATCACCACGCGCAAGCTGATCTACGTCGCGTGGATGCTGGTCTACCTGTGCGCTCTGCCCGTGTGGAACTTTGTCCTCCCCGTTTACTCGTTCTGGCACTTTGATGACTTTTCCTGGGGCGAGACGCGCAAGGTTGAGGGCGAAGTTGTCGACAAGGCAGGTCACAGCGACGCGACGGCCGTGTTCGACGGCACTACGATTCCTTTGCGCCGTTGGGACGACTGGGAGCGGAGTCGGCTGCGCAAGATCCGCCGCGAGGAGAAACGCAGGCGACAGATGGAGCGCATGCACGGGCAGGCCTTCTACGGCGACGAGGACGGCATGCTTGTCGCCCCGGACCGTGGGTTCGCACGCGACGAGTCGGACAACCAGTCGATCGCGTCCTCAGAAGAAGACATGTGGGGCGGCGACGTGGGCGGCTACGACGAGAACCACCCATCGTTCCCTCCTCCGCCCATAGCGCTGCCGCCAGAGTCACGTCCACTGCCCGGCCCCACGATAGGCATGGACGAGATGGCGCAGATGCTCGACCAGGGGTTCGAGGAGCCCCCACCGGCCAACATTAGAATCGACCGCCGCACTCCCTCGCCCCTGCACCGCCCACGCGTGTCGCCGCCGACGGACCAGTACTCAGGGCAATATGCGGGTGTGGGCCAGGGCCGTACCCCAAGGCATGGGCGCGGCGAGAGCACTAGCATCGAGCCGCACGTGAACGGACACGCGCGACAGCGCTCCGCGGGCGGCCAGAATGGGTATGGACCGCTGGGGCCCGCGTAGTGCGGTTCGGAGACGACGACGCGACTGCGACGGTGACGACAAACGACGATTGGAGGCGCCTGGGAGCGCCATTATGACAGACAGCATTCATACACACTCTGCATTGTAATAGACTTGCCAGCACACGAGGCGAGGCTGCATGGACGGGGGGAGAGTGATGGTGTTGCTCATACTGCCCAACCATGTTCATGTTATGTACAACATATGGATAATTACACTATTGCACGAGACCGCGGGACTGGATCGCAGCCGCGATCGTCTCAACCTGGCGTCAGCGTTATCAGTTCTGCGACCCACCTGAATGCTCGTGTGGCGGATTCGGGCGTCCCAACGCTCGGTCCAAGCCACGGGCTCGATAGGCGTCTCTTCGCGCTCAACGCCGAGGCCACCAGCCGTGCCAGCAACCTGCCCGTCCTTATCCTCGTGCCGGCTCTCAAAGTACAGAAGGCCGAGCGGCTGATCGATCCACGCGCGCAGCCGTCCCTGCTCAATCATCTTGCGGGCGACAGTCTCGGCCGCGGGCGCGTCTAAACCGAGGAGGTCGCCGAGAGCGTCAAACGAGATGTTGTCATAGACCTTTGCGCACGCGCCGACGTTGTGCTCGCGTACTGCGCGCTCCAGCACGGTGCCACCGCCCTCGACCTGCGCCTTCTGGTGCCGCATGAGCCCCGCCTCGAACTCGGCGACCTCGGCCGGCCGCACGATGTACTCGAGCAGCATCTTGCGCAGCATTGTCCCGAGGTGCGCGGGGATGGCAGAGTGCACGCGATCGTCGCGGTTGAGCTGCGCGAGGAGGCGCAGACGCTGCGGGCCGGCCGGGGCCAAGATGCTCGTCGTCACCGCCTGCTGCAGCATCATGAGGCGGTCGTCCTCGTCGACCGCCGCGTCGAGCGACACGTCGTGATACACGCGCGCAGCTTCGGTGAAACGCGCCGAGAAATCGAACAGACGCGCCTGCGACAGGCGTAGCGTCAGCTGCGCCTCCTGGCTTGTCTCGGGCGTAATCAGGAGCGACGCGCGGTTGAAGTAGTGCTGGGCACGCTCGCTGCGCTCGTCCTGATGTCAGCATGCTGACACTCGCAGGATGAACGAACCTCCAGCAACAGGCGCACGATTTGGAGGTAGATGCCGAGCTTCTCGTCATCGCCCACGAGGCTGAGGTCAGTATCGTGGGGGGGGGGAGGGGGATGACGCACCGTGACCCGCCCTCAAGTGGAATGCGGATAAGCGCGTCGGCGGCGCCGGCCCAGTCTTCCTCGTTCTGGAGGATAGCACTCTGGGCGCGCCGCAGGCGCGTCGTCTGCTCTTCGCACCAGCCAGCGTAGTCACCCAACACACCCTCAATGATCGCCTTGCGCGACCCCTCGTGCTTCGCGAACACGGCGCCAAGCGTAGTCCACTTGGCCTCGTCTTCGGCGTCATGCATGAGACCCGATGTCAGCGCAGCAACGAAGGCGCCGAGAACGCGCCGCCCTGCGACGAGCGGTACGCTCGTCGACGTCGTGAAGTGTCGCCCGAAGGCGGTCAGGTCGGACACATCTGGCGAGGAGAGGAGGGACTCAAGCAGCGACAGATACGCCTCGATCCGATCGCGCTGGTTCGGTGTTTCTGCAATGGCAGCCAGCTTGACGCCGAGATCGGTGTCGACGTCCATGATGATGGTGATGAGGAAGGAGGTGAAGTGACCCGTTGATGTCAACGGATGTGTGTGACGATCAGACCGACCACCAATACCGGCTACATGTGGCTCATAGCAACCATGCGTCACACTCGCGTGGCAACCACGCATCACTTTCGTCGCGTGTCGCCACTCAACATTATAAGGCTGTATGTGGTACCACAGTCAGGGTCCGGCGGACCGGAGCTGGCTACAGTGAGGTCTGGTTCTGGTTTGATCCCGGCGCCATGTGCCCTGGCAGGCGAAATTTAGCATTTTAGCTGGCGGGAAATAAGCCTATTTTACGCCACTTTAGTGACATGTCTTTCCATGACTGGCGCGCTGTTGGAAGTGACGTGTACTTTGCCACCTGACCCACCCTGTCACGGCCCGAACCGAGACTAGATCTAGCTTCAGTAGAACTGCTATTAGGACTACCAGCCCTAATATTGTACCTTTTAGTGATACGGTCTAAAGCGTTCAAGTCCGTTCCTCACAATCGCCCACATCCTCACACCCCTCACCCTCCTCTACTTCATCCACCTTCTCATCCTACCTTATCTACCACCGTTTCCTCTACACATTTCATTTGCACCGCCCACTCTCTTCTTTGCACCTGCCGAAACGTCAGGCATTCGTGAGTCTCCCACTCTTGGGCACTGCCCTGCCCCTGCCTTCCCCCGTCGCTGACCCCCGAGGTGTTACGACCCAGTCCACTTCGCACCATACATTCGACCTCATTCGACACTGGTTCGTAACCCACATTCGTTACTGTTCGCACATCCAACTTGTGCCCCCATTCGCACCCCAGCTCTACCACATTCGTTACACTCTCGTTC